CACGATCCCGCATACTTCTGGTTTTTTTTTCGTATTATACTGCTGCTTTCGTGCTACTACTTCTACTAGTACTACTACTACTACTACTACTACTACTACTACTACTATTACTACTACTACTATTGCAATTGCTGCTACCACCTTGACGGAGATTTTCAATTTTTTTCTTCTAAATTACGATGTCATTTGAGAATGCCCTGGGAAGTGTGAAATTAAAATCTATAAAATTTATAGTCAACACAAGAAATAATCCAATGAATAAATTCATTGAATCCATTGGAATTATACATTTTTAATTTAGTTTATTCTAAAAATGATTACCAAAAACAATGCGTGAAATGTTTTAAATTTTTAATTGATACTCGGAGTCATATATTCTAAAATTACGGCAAGTTTATTACAGCAGTCATTAGGCATTTTTTTATCCTGCTTTTAATCTCAGGCTTTTTTGTTTTTTCTGTTTTATCCCATTCTTTTTTTTTAACTTTGTCTTTGCTTGGTGTGCATCAATTTCAAATTCTCCCCAGTCGACTGAGTTTTTCTTTCCTTTTCATTTTACGAAAGGCTATAGACAAAAGAGATGGACTTGGTTTGAATGCAAATTGAAGATTCGATCCGACACAAGTTTGCTCTTTTCACTGTGTGTACGTGCAAGTATCTCTTCTTGCTTTTCTCTACGTGTTGCTTAAAATAAAATAAAGATTGAGATCGAAGAAAAGGAAGAGAGAAAAAGATAGTCAGAGACTTGGACTTAGACATAGTTTATTGGACCATGGGGTAGCTGTCTAGCATTAGTGCTAAAAACTGGAAAAAATGATGAAAAATATTTTTAATACGAAAAGAGCCAACCAAATACTTTTTTTAATGAAAAATGGAAAAAAGTAAAAAACGTTACTTTATTTACTAAGCTCCGTCGAAAAAACGTAAAGAATGATCGCAAATCGTCGGAAAATCGTACATCACATCGAGTGCTAAATGTTCAAAAGTGTTCACTTATCAACTTACGATGAATGAAAAAGATCTCAACAATGCAGTGGTGAGGCACTCCAGCAGTACCAGTTCCAGTATAGTGCGATCGAGCGCAAGCTCAAGAGTGCAGGTGAACTCCTTCACAGCATCATTCGAACAATTAAACTTATGCAGCTTCCAAAGTAGAACAGAGAATTGAAGACCTTCGAGAAGTCAAAAAGCGTATTCCAAGCTCCATTTGCAGTGATTTTCTAGTCGACGATTAATTTCGTGTATGGTTGCTCGATTTGTACTGTATGGTTTCTCCTTAAACTAATTTGATCAAGATATCTAACTGATCGATGCCCTCCGTGCAAAATTAGTCGGGACGCGCACTGCTTGAGAAACTCATGAAATAGAGTTATCAATATGGACATTTTAAAACGGATCCAATCGCGTTTGACGATTAGTCAATCGAGATTTGGCTCGTATATAGTCGAATAGCCTGAAAACGATTCGTCTGCTTTGACCTCGAAATCGAATAAGACCTCGTTAAATTGCAAACATACAAATAACTAAAATACCTTTATAATGCAATCTCTTAAGAATTCGAAGTAAAATAAACTCCGTCCGCGCGACACCTTCGTCTCTTAGTTTCTCCTCTCTTCTCCGGCAAACTTTTGACTCTCACCAGCTCAAAAGAAAGGACGATAAGATGGTGTATGTACGATACAGTTAAGACGACGCTGAAACATAACTCGTATCAAATGAAAGATACCAACAGTGCGAGTTAGTGCGGGAGTACTTTGCTGCCAGTCAGAAAATGGAAAACTTTATATGTAGGCGCGAGAGCTTGGACGAAAAAAAAGAAAGAGAGAAAGAAAAAGAGACGCAACGGTAACAGCGGCAGTCTTGCAAAGAGACCGCTACAACAGGGAAAGAGAAATAGAAAAAGAACTGGTGCTAGTATTTGTAATAGCGCGAGCAGTAGTAAATTCTGCCAAGAGTTTGTTAATTCGAAAGTTTTTATAAACACGGCCTCACTAAATTTGATGCGTCCGGCACACACAAGGGTCAAAGGTCGAGTGGAATCACCACACTGGGGCGACGTCAGTGGCATAGCAGCTGCAGCAACAGACTATGCAAATCTTTTACATAATTGATTAAAGACTGACTAGTCAAAAGTCACTTGGACTTTCAGGCGATCTCTCCCGCTCTCGCTTTATCCACTTCTCTCTGTCCTTCGCGTCCCTTTCTCTCTCGCTCTCATTTAGCACTATTGCTCTCGCTGTACCGGTTACATTTGCATAGTTTCCTTTGAGAATTACCGAGCAATGACGTCGCTAGCGCACAACGGAAAGCCCAGAATTGACCGACCATTTTGTCTTGATTGATTGATGAATTGACCGGCGATAGCGTTCGTTAAGACATTTAAATTCACATCGATGTCTGGTATGTTAGTCAAAAATTTTCACGTTTAAAAATATGGTTTTTGCTAGAAAAATGAAAACTTAAAAATCATAAGACACGCAAAGCTAATAGTAGTACATCTTAAGGAGCAAGCAAAGGAGGCGTATTATTTTGATCCTCTCAAAGATGGCTAATGTTAAGAAAAAAAAAACGGATTAAGTCGCCTGCCTTTCGCTCTTTAGCTGGCATATATCTAAATGTCTCCCTGTCTCTCTCCATATATATACCAACAGAGGTAATGTTGTCCCAAAGTAATCCGAAACTTTAAAGTCAAGCCACTCGGCAATTAAATCTGGCATTTAGCTATTGTCGCCCTGAAGGAATAAGTCGACTTCCTACCTAACTCGAGCGAACCTCGTGAAACTTTTGCCTGCTGCCCGAGAAGTGACTGAGAGTTTGCCAGCCAGACTCAGAGTATAAAAGGAATAATTATATGTATGAAAGTCAATTAAACTATATATACACCCAGACGTACCGATATATATTTGCAGGCGCTCGCGCGAGCTTGACCGTGGCGTGATTTTCAACCTTTATATACCCATCGTCGTGTCCGTGTAACGCTTTGCAGTGCGCCGAGCTTAATGGCGCAAACGAAACTTTGTGTGCACGAGCGCGCGCGCGCCTGGATGTATTGCGCAGATATTGTCCTTGTTGTCCCTTTGTCACTCATTCAGTTACGTATACTATACTTTTGTCACTCTGTACACACCCGGCGCCGACTCCGCCATGGCCACGCGCGCTGATGCAGCAGCACACACACACCGGTAGTGTGAGAAAGTTTGACCGGACGATTTGTTTGTTGGTCCGGCCGTGCTTTGAGTTATGCTTGTTTAACGAGTTTGTGCTCAAAAGAAATTAAATAATCTGCGGTTGTTACGAGCTCGGCTGGCTGCAATCGGATGAGCTCCAAATAAAGTGCAAAAGATAAATCTACCGTTAAAACCAGAAATATTGTATGAAGAAATTCATTTTCATTCGATCGTTGTAACTTTTGCTTTATATATAAGTATGTTTTTCGATCCATGAGTTTATTTGAAACGCATTCACAATCTGCGAGTATTGTATTCTGGCTTTTATACTTGGATCTTTTATTTTTTACAAATTTTCCATGGATTTACTTTTTTTAAATATTTGTGAATTATTAATTTATACGAAAAGTTAATTACAACAATCATCATATTAATGAAGTCATTAAAAATTGAGCTGCAACGAATAAAAGGGTTGCCTTTAATGTAATCATACGAAATTATCATATTTTCAATTTTCACCCTGTAATAAGGTAGAGTATATCAAAACGCGATTAATCAAAATGATAGCAATTCACACGTACGTAGCTGCATAGTGAAAAATGACGTCGTGTGCTCATTTACGAAATTATTGATGCGCACGAAGCTCGTATTGCGACCTGCCTCTTTGTAAGTAATCCAGTAAATTTTGTTATTTTTCACTGTTTTAATAATACCGTTTTATCTGGTTCAAACGCTTCGAAGGTAACCAATTTATTTGATTGCTTGATTGTTTACATTTTACAGCAACGATTTTTGACAATTGCAATATAGGTGTAAGCTGATTGTCAGGAAGAATCTGAAATATGGTTACCACTCGTTTCACTGTATTGTACAAAACGAATAACTTATGCTTCACATAAAAAGAAAAATTACATTTTCATTCAAAGTGAGATTTATGAATAAAAAAAAGTAAAACGAAAATAAAAGCAAGTGAGTAAACTGTCAATTTTAATATAACAATATAACGCTACAGGTATAAGTATAAAATCCTTAGCAGTATGTGCAGCGAACGCTCGAAGATAAACACATTGGAAATTCATTGCAATGTGGACCACTATGTACAACGTACACAAATACAGATATGTATATGAAATATATCACCTTCTCGTACACCAATATAAAAGTTGAACAATAGCCAATGTCCATACGAGCGCAAATAGCAACTGTGTGTATTGCTTCCAGGTGAATCGATAGGGTACACGGTGTCAGTTAAAGCATGTAGCATGTTATATACTCACAATTAAATAAGTTTAAATGTTTGTTTTTTGTAAAAGATTGATTGATCTCGCAGAGTGTTGCACTGGACGTGGTCAATACTATGATTTACACTTCTATGTAAAGATTCTCGGTCGTTTACACGATATCAACAACCGTTAGAATGATTTATTGATTTATAATTGTTTAAAGCGATTGGATGCTAATATAGTAATTTTTATTGTAAATTAAACGTATCTAATTTAAGATCAATTTTTACAGCACCTGATGCATAAATAATATTATTGTTTCATGCTATGCAATTTAATTAAAATTGGACACATTTAGTCTGTATTTAAAGACAAAGTTTGAATATTTCATACAGAATATGATGACCCGAAAACACTAAATAACAACCTGTATGGATATAGAAAGCACCTGTGCGGGCATGGAATGCATATAGATAGGTCGAGATACACAATGTTGGTTGGCGCGCATGCGCACGGATAAACAGCGCTAAGCACGAGGAAAACTAAGTACGGGTAGGATATTTCTCGCGCGCAGCGAAAGCATGATACTAGTCGGCTTTTGCCGCTCGACTTTATCGCAGCCCCCATCCGTGCACGTGCACCGACCAGTTTGACCGAGCCATAGAGATCCGCTCTCGAGTTTCTCAATAGTATTACCAGTGATGGTCAAATATTTGTGTTCGTAATTGGTTTATGTGTTATCAAATTGTGTGTCAGTGATATGAAGCGGATGAAAAGTTGTGAAAGCCCCGGCACTTTTGTAACTTTTTAGTGTTCGTTGCGAATCCTCACGGCTCGCAGTCTTGGCGCACAAAACTTGCGGAGATCAAGATATGATGAAAGTGTACGTTTTTCGCAAATTCTTTGGTTATCTTTTGAATTTTCACGTTAGCATATGAGATTTCAGCAGAAAAGCTAAAGTTTAGTTTAAAAGAACTGCTTACTAACAAAATGAAAAAATTTGCGCTTAAATAAAATTTACATGCTCATTATTTTCGTATTATTTGTAAAAATTCAGAAAAATACATTAATTTTCAAATATTCACTTGGTTTCGTGAGTATGTTATATTTGCATTATTATCTTTGCAGTCAAAAGGAGCTAGACTGTTTGCTTCTGCTCAATGTAGATTTTTCGGGTCTGGCTATTCAGGGGAAATTCGTATACGAAATTGTGCAACACCTTAATTCTCAGCAATATCTAATACACTTTCGAATAAATTTTGTAAATAAATCTTTCAAAATCATTACCACTTTTAAAAAGATCTTCGTACATTTTTAATTTTTAGTCATTGATAATTATTTCTGTACTTTTAAAATTTTGAATGAATATCTGTATTCAGGTTTTAATCAAAAATCAAAGCAATAGTTGAAAAGAAAATTTTCCGTTACGCATGGTATCCGTTCTTATTTTGGATTTTCTATATTTTAATCTTGAGTTTGCCTACAATTGAATAAGAAATTCAAATTTAATCATAGAGTACGTCAACCACAACTGATAATAGAATAAATTCATTAATCATAAAATAACTGCACTGAGCTTTCTTGACAAGACTGCAGGATCAATTGTGTTAAATTCACGAACTCGATAGAAAGTTAAAATCTCATACTCAGTTCCCAACTCGGAGTTTCTCTCGAAAATGTCGCGATAGTGATTGTGCTTTTATTCAAACAAAAAATAACTCGATCGGTTATTTATGATTAGATAAAATTTAACTTGATTTCTCGATTCCATTTAAATTTTGCGGTTGCTCTCGCTGCGTCTCGTTAATGATATTCGTTGAGAAATATCAATCAGAAAAGTGTATCAGTACTACCGACTTCCTTTGACTTCTTATAATATATTATAAGAGTATCAACGTCGCATATTTATCGATTTTAATAAATGCACCCAGCCTGCTTGTAGCAGACGACGACGAAAGCGGGGGTGTGAAGCTCTTTGAGAATATGAAACCTTGGCTACGCTATTAAGTACGTTTGCGTTAAATGAGACAATTTAAAGCCCTGAATGAGCGTTTAACTTTTATCGTGATATGCCGGTGGATTGAATATAGCTTCCCTGATACTTTTCCTCAATTATTACTTTTACCAGCAAAGATGTAATTAATTAATTTTCAAATATTATTAAAACGAATTTTCTCCTATTAAAAGCTGTTTTTTCAATTCTCGGTGCCTATTATTTTTTGATTGACGTCATACGTGTACCTGAACGATTGATTTGATTGCATGTTTTTCCAGTATCATTTTTCAAGTTCTTTTTACGAATATTTTTGGAATAACCAACCCCGTTATTCGTGAATATTACAATCTTTCTCGAATCATTTTTATCTATGCATTTGACCATTATGAAATTGAGAATATTGAGTAAAATGGTTCTTTTCATGTAGCCAGATGTTATTTGAGATAAATTTTAAAATATTCCCGCTTAAAAAAGATTAATGCATCTAAACTGGCCCAAGTGTGCACCAAATATGGCTCATGTTTGGTGCAAATATTGACATTAATTTTTTTACGTGGGTTGTTGTAAAACTATCATTTTAATCGACCGTTCATTTATTGTCAAAGTATTTATTAAAAAAGTCTTTTTAAGGCTAAGATGTTGCTGAGAAATGAGATCTGTATAACATCGAACATTCTTTTTTGTATAAAAAAAAAACTTTTTTTGAAATTAAATAATTTTTTTTTTTTAACCTAGACTGCAGTAAAAGTCATTAATTTCATCAAAATTGTGCGCGCACGCAAATGAAAACACAAACAATTTCAAACTCTCAATTTATTCATGCTCAAATAGTCCAGTTGAATTTCCATTAAAATAACGATCTTGTCCGGTAGGCGCGAATATTTGGATAACGCAGCTCGCCCCGGGGGGTTTTATGCATTAAAAAAAATAAAAAAATAGGCTATATTTATATTCGAAATACCATTACGTGTGCCAGAACGCGAGAGAACAACAAGTTCGCGCGTAGCAGCGGCACGGTGCGTTTCTCAAACTCAAATTACCCAACTAGTAAATTTACATACGCTTGCACAAGTCACCGTTTCATGTTTATCGAAGAAAGAGCCACGTCATCAGTGTCGCGTGGCGTTAATTTCACAGCGCCGCGGTAACACACGCTGCTGCTGCTGCTGCTGGTACCCTAAAGAAAGAGAGACAGAAGAGAGAGAGAGCGCAAGAGCTAGAGCGAGGCTTTTCCACTGTGGCAGCTACGAGCAGCTTTGCCGCGTGCAGCTTAAGCTCACTTCAGCTTACTTTACACCTGTCAACTCTTGTACTTATCAAAAAGACGTCGCGCGCTCGTGCGCGCACCTATCCCTTCCGAGTGTACTCTGTACCCTCGCGACTAGACGTGTGTGTGTGAGTGCAGTGTCGGTGTACGCGCGCGGCTGCATGCTTACACGCAGGGAATACAATTAATTGACGCGCGGCGCTTCGGAATAACACGAGCTTTTTTTTCGCAAACCATTCGCGCTCCGTAATTTTATACCTTAGATCGATCGTCGAGCGCCCTTTTTTGCTGGAGAAAAAAATTTTTATCACGCGAGAAATGCTGGAGGAAAAAGCAAGAGAAAAAAAACGATGTAATATTTTCTGCAAGTTAAACGCGAGTCAAAAGATCGACATGCGCGTTTTATCGTCGGAAATTCATGCGGTTCAAGTATCATCCTTAATACCGCTCTGTGCACATACCTACCTACATGCACACACCTTTCGTGTATACCTGAACCGAAAGGATATAATTTGAATTTCAAATCCGAAAGGGCAATGTGCACGCATACATTTCCCATTTATACCCGCTCTCTTTCTCCCTTTCTCGCTCTTCTAAAACCACACAATTTTAAACTAGAATACCTACATCTTTTCTCGCTCTCTTTAACATTCCTTATGTATATATACGCACGCATGCACACACACATATACTCGCGATAGTATGTATAATACTCCTCGAATGTACTCGTATAAATGCGCATGGCTTCCCAGAAAACTGTCTCATATTCACATCGTGTCAAGGTTCAATTAGTCCCATGATTCGGCAACAGAATAGAGATTTTATAATTAAATAATATCTGTTCTAGTTTATTTGTTATGAATTTTCAAACGAGATATGTCATTTGACTTGAAAAATTGACTAGCTTGATTAATCTTAATTCACTGATTACACAAATTATTCTTTCAAAATACTAATAACTAATAGCTTTAGGAAACTTAGTTTATTGATTGATTTTCATTTTTTACCCTAGTTTGAAGGGAAAAATATCCTATAAATATGAGTTTACTTAAATTTTGTCATGATTATTACGTATAACGTAAGGAAAATAACGGCTAACGGAGGTGTCGTCGTCTTGTCTTGTATATATAAATACATCGTGAGATGACAGCGGCGCTCCTAGCTCCCTGCGCTTTTCTCTCGGGTAAATATAGGAACTCTCTCGCGCGCTTCGCGTTATATATTTTTCATATATACGTCATCACGTTCATTAAGGTGTGTGTAGAAGGAGAGAGAGAGTCTCGCTCCTCATTTATAAAAATTTGTTTTTATCTTTTTTTGCTCAGACGAACGTAGTTACAAGAAGCAATAGCATGAGAAGGCTTTAAGCGCAACGAGCTCGAAAAAAATAAGGAAGTATCCTGGCAACACGCGAAGACGAAGAAGAAGTAGAAGAAGACGACGACGACGACGACGAAGAAGCAACAGCAGAGGCAGAGTAGCGAGTGGCAGCGGTGTCGTGGTGTGGCGCGGTGGTGGCGGCGCGACTCCTCGTGAGCGCATATTGCGTTAGTAATCAGAGATCCTAGCTCAGCGAATGCAACGCTTGACGAGTCGACTCGAGCTCCTTCTTAGCCTTCACTGGTCTATACCATGTACAAATATATGTATATACGGGACAGTTGCTGCGCCACTGGAGCCTCGAGGATGAATCTCTCGCGGAGACTAGCGATGCTACTCCTGACGCTCTGCTTCGTGCAATTTCGACAGCGCGGTAAGTTATTCTTTTTCTTCTTTCACCTTTTTTTGCCTTTCATTTTTCAGTCTATGCATGACACTCTCTTTGGCGCTCTCAATTTTGCCTCGTGGCGGGATTTGGAAACGCCTGTCGAGCAAAAGTAAAAATTTTCCCAAAGAAATGATCAAATTTGAATTAAAGCTTTATAGATGCGTGATCTTGTGGATGAAAAAGATTTTACGCAAAATTATCGATAGTACAGAGAAATATTTAATACATGCAACATAATTAATCAACTTTAATCTAGTTATACTATGAACTAGCGCATGAAAATGCAATTTGTGCTTTGGCCAAGGGGAATTGTGCTAGAATGCGAGTTATGATAGATAATATTGTCAAATTGCAAATTCTCTTCCATACGTATGACGAGTAAATAGTGTGCAACTATTATCAGGAAATTGTATTTTTTTATTCATATTTAGGGGGTTAAGCAAACACAATCGAGTGCACAGCAAGTGTGTCCAAATATAGTTTCGTAAGATTTTTTTTAGAAGATAGATTAAAGTCTTCCGTTGAACTTTCTAAACGAAGGAAAAAATCTGCTTGATTTTTCAAAGAATTTAGTCCCGTGTTTTGGTGATTATGCAGTGGCGAAATTTGATTAATCTCCTCGTAATTACGTCGAGTTGATAATTAAATTTCAAGTCATTTTTAGATTATCTCTAAAGGTTTTATCTGCATCAACGAAATCTTTCTTTTTCTCATTTTCCCCAGCGCATTGGCTGTTACAAGCAAACGCACTATATATAAGTAAGCGCGAGATAATAATCGATTTTAATAACGAAGCGCCTTGAAATTTCTGCTGTTGCTATGATCGGGGTGTATTTTTGATTGATATTGAAAGCCAATAAATCAATTATAACATTAAAAAATTCTTTAATAACCAACGTGAATTTGCACACATGTTTCTGCCCTTATTAAAATGTACGACTTTCTTAATTTATCTACAGTCAGTCGTACCCCAATAGAGTTTTTCATTAAAACCCGAGTAAATTTATTAAAATTTTACGGGAAATTTTTTTCGACGGTAAAAAGTATAATTTATTTCCTCGAGAAACTTGCCGCCACGTTTATTTATGTCAAGTCTCGGGTAAGAATCTTTTCTTAAACAACTAACGAAGAAGTATACGAAAGTTTACTGGGCACCGGTGTGAAATTAAATATTCCAACGTTGACACACTTGACGGTGACCTTTAACACAGTGAAATTCTGTCCGTTCAATTTAATTCGAATTACTTCGACGTCCTTGAATTGTATACGGGTAATACATCTGTGTACAATATACCTGCTCGAATTTGCTTTTGAAGTTATTGAAGTTTCTACGATTGTGTTGGTATGTGCGTGTGTGCATGTGCGTACATGTTGCACATGCTTCTGTGTGCGAATGATCGTATATAAATGAGATATAGGTTTACAAAGCTCGGCAGTGCCCTTTGACGCTGCTCACCTAGTGCGAAGCAGTGCTTTTAACGCTTCTAAAGGATCAGATTTGCCTCGATGGTGTTCTAACATATGGTTAATGAGAGGGACATCAATCCCTTGCGCTGAGCTTTAATAACAGAGTTTGAAATGACAAATGACACATTGACTCGAGTTACGAGATTTAAGAAGTATTTAAACGCTTTTCATGCCCGTCGAGAGGGTTCTCGGCGGATTTTGTGGTTTAGGAAAAAATTAACTCCCCGGCTTTTCAACTAATTAGCCATTAACGCGAGAAACAGTTTGTCAAACGAAATGGCATAGAAATGCGCCAATTGAATGCCCGCAGAGTGTGCCATAAAATCCGAATTACTGCTAAAGATTAAAGTTTGAATTTCTCGAATGTACGAAAGCCTGAATGATAATTTGATCGAGTTTACTTAAAAACTCATAAGTTGGCTACAGAAGTTGTCTTAGCCGGGTCGAAATTTAAATGCTTCTCTCGCTACTCCCATTCATTTCCACCTTTCCAAATGAAAAAGTCGGCGAACAAACCTCGGCGCGTCTACAGGAATGCTCACGCAAGTGCAATTTAACTACTCCGGTGTGCGTCAACGTGTGCAGATATATATATATATATATATGTACACACACGTACTCTCAAGCTCTTTTATACGTACAAAGCGAGAGAGAGAGAGAGAGAGAAAGAGAAGAAAACGTGCATGCGCGTGCACGTGAAAGAGAAAGAGAGAGAGAGAGAGAGAGAGAGGAAAAACTGATGAAGATAAAATGGCATAATTATAGAGTCTATCGAGATCGCACGCGCTCGCGCGCACGAGTGTATTTTGTCTGGACACGCAATAGCGGTTGAGGCCAGTAGTTGCAGAGCGCCAAAGGGGAGTTCTGGTAAGTTAATAAAGAAAAGGGAAAGGAAGGCCGCGTGCGAGGGAATTGACCGAGCGTAGTTAAAGCGCCACCGAGTAAAGAAAAGTAGAGGAAAAAAAAAGAGAGAGAGAACCAAGTCTCGGCTGAAAGAGATACATGAATGTGTCGAGATTTAGTCATAGAATAATACATGAAAGTAAAGATAAAAACCACAATGGCGCGCGGGCTTATAATACAAGAATTTGCCGCTTCCCCGCCCAGCCGCGCGCTCTAGATGAATCGAAAGCATTTTTTACAGGCGTCGGGGAATCTTGACGAGCTATTTATTTTTATGCTCTTTATAAATATACATTCGGAATGTAATGGATTGTGGGTTATACAAAGCTTATCTAACGGACTGTAAAGTTGGGTTTTTTCGAGAACTTGCAATTCCTTGATTGATTTACAAAAAAATCTCCCGGAAGCCAACATAAACGTAAAAAGATGAGCTATTTATCTTTGTTTCTTACATGTATTTTTGTACCAATATGAAGTTAACTTTCATGAAACAAAATCTAGTATTTGTATATAAATTCATAAATTTTAATCATAAGCTCATTAACAGTTTTTTCTAGTGTTTCTCCTGATTCCTTTTACTCTAGGGCTGAAGTTAGGATAATTATTTCCAAATCATTTTTTTTGGTTGAACTATTTTTATTTCTACTTTATTTGTACGTGTGTATACGTGCAAGGCCTTCGCTTTCCAATTTTTTTTACTTCTCTCTCTCTCACTTTTTCTCCTCTCATAGGTATAACGGGTGCACGCAAAACGCGATTCGCATTTGTTATAGTATAAAAGCGCACGCGGGCGTTTGGAAGGGCAAACGACTGTGAATACACACATGCGATGTTTAAATTTGCTTCGTTTTCGGAAGAAAAAATACAAGCAAGATTTGAAAAAAAATCATTTTATAACTAGGAGCCTCCTTGCTGTGTCAGCTTTCAAGCTGATACATTTAACGTCGTTCTGTTCGCAATGCTATAATGTCTCCAACGAGTTCGAGGAAAAATAATCTTCTTGAGATTGGCGCATTACAGAGCACGATCATTCGAAAGAACGAAATCGATAAATATTACCTTTATTTGGAACGTCTGAAAAATAAATCAGGATAGCTTAGATATTTACGTACACTTTATTTACTTACATACATACGTACATATAGAGACTGCTCGTGTATTTATGTACATCATGACTAAGAATTTCGTTGCGACAAAATTGATAATATTTCTGAATCATAACAATAAATAAATTTAAAACAATAAATAAATAAAATTTTGATACCAATTAAAGTTTTTGCAAATAACTCGTCATCCCACTACGAAACTCTAATCACATTATAAAATAAATTATATCAGTCTTGCTGTTGATAAACAAGCTTATTTTCATACTTCGCTCTTTCAAAAAGTAAAATATTCATTTTATGCATCGAGCCAAAGTCAAATAATGAAATTTCGTAGCTGAGCAATAAGTACGCCATAAAATATTTTCTCATTTTGATTCGAATTTCTTTTTGCACTTGTTCGGCAGATTTACTTTCACATCTCTCATAAATCTGCATTTTGTTGCGACGAGTGAAGAATTCGTTTTTTTTCTCTCTCCTAATTTTACATGCTTCCGAAAAGAGAAAGAAAAAGAGAGGCCGAAAGAGTAATATACGGATCCAACTGTTTAAACCCAAATGACCTTAAACAAGTTGTTGAGAGAATATTTTTAAATTGGCTTGCTTGCTAATGCATCGCTTCTCCGTGTATACTCCCTCGAACGGGGGAAAATAGACTTGGTACAAAAGCGTTCATTTAACTCGTGCCAGTATATAACATTAATTCACAAACGCTACGCAATATACTCGTTGGAAAATTGTCATTCGGTTTGGTATACATTACGTCTTAGTGGAAGCAGTAGATAAATTCGTCTGCATAAAGGTTTTTTTCAATTATTTTCCACTTGATAAGTCATTACAGGTTTGTTATTACTCGTTGAAAATACGGAAACGTATTTTTAAAAAACTCATGTGGCTGTCTGGAGAAAAAGTAAATAAAAGTTACGAAGCTTAATACACTGTGTGCTGCAGTATTCTTGCGCGAGCTATTCATAAATCTAATATCTTGACTTGTAATCCTAAACCAATCAACTTTTCATGCAGCGCGTTCATAAATTCTTGCATATTATGTCAAAATGCATTGCATATAATAACGCATTCCACGAGCACGCGCACAGCAATAGTGAATCTCCCCGGAGAAAGAGCGTAAAATTTCTTGCTTGTCTGGTGATTAAATTAATACTATTATGTATCCGTGGAAGGCTTTGGAAAATTAGCTATTGTAATAGGAGAAAATGGCAATTTGTAATGTAAAATCTCAGACTGTTTGATAAAGCCATGACGAAGCGCGTCTCGATACCGAAAAGCTTCAAAAATTTTTTCGCTGACTCGCGATTTAGATGGATACACATTTTAATTTTTATAATTCCTGACTTAGCTCCTTTGCGACCGATCGATTAAAATTCAGCTCGAGACGAACAAAAGAAGGAATATGAAAAAAGGGCGATTATTGAAGGCAGCAAAGCGTAGTTTTTCTCCGCGAGGCGAGCGAGAGCTAATGATGATATCAGCGTTATATAATACTACTACACGCTCACTCACCACCTCTAACGCATCTATATCAGAGAGAGAGAGAGAGAGAGAGAGAAAGAGAGAGAGACCAGAATCGCATATTACACGTATATAGCTGTATGTATGGAATAGGCAACGGTATATATAAGAGACGCTTTCCTCTCGTTCTCGAAGGCGGGGTCTGCTCCGGTCTCGTCCAGATAATCAGAGACTACTTCTAGTCGAACAATTCAATTACTACTACACGCCCGATCGTAAGACGTGACTCGAGTGCAATTTCATCCTCTCATTGCAGCTTCTCCTGCGGGGGTCTCTCTCTCTCTCTCTCTCTCTCTCTCTCTCTCTCTCTCTCTTGCTTGCTTTGCAACTGCTGGACTACTTGCAAAGAATTAGCATTTTTCCCAACGACAACTATGTACGCGCTCCTTTATCAAATGTCCCGCGCTCGCTTGCTCGCTCGTTCGGCTTTTACATTTAATTACGGTCGAACAAACGGACCTTTTTTGGTATTTTAATCGACGTGCCAAGTGCGAAGGTAAATAAATAAAACGTAGTATGATGGAAAGCCCTTCATCGAGCGTATTTTCGGGGATATATAACGTCGATAAAATAAAAATAAAAATTGGCTTCCGACTCGTTGAGCGCGCAACAATTTTGCACTCGATACGTGTGGAACACACTGTCGCGGTGATTTTGCGTCTTCGCCCGTAAAGTTTTTAATGAACTTGTTGCAATCTCTCAAAAAGACTTATATAGGCGAGACAGAGAAAGATAGAGGGGGGAGAGTGGGGGAAGAGAGCGAGAGAGTACGCGGCTTTCGCGCTAGAGCAATTAATTCGTCGAGTCACGCTAGCGAAGTTAGTCTCGTACGTACAATCTTAGCTTTGCTCCGTGTCTGTGTGCGCGCGCGGGCGAGTAGACCACCTGATTTAGTAAAATATATATATGTATAGATGGGCGTATACCTATACAGCCGCATATAGATATACCGATGCATGCTCGCGTACACACATGCGCGCACACATACACAAAAGTTAGAAAGAGAGAAGTGCCTGTGGCACACGAGCAAAAGTTCTGGCTCGTGGATCGAATTCTCCAAGGCGTTCACCCACATCTATACGGCGCTACGATGTAAGCTCCAATTGAAGTGCCGAATATATGTATGCGCTATTCAAGCTCGCTATTATACATACGCACACGGAAATACCTCACGACGCTGCGCGATTTTAGCATCTCAAATGCGCGCGCGCGCGTGTGTGCATAGTCGAGAAAACACATGGTATCTCGACGGCAGAGGAAGGAAGGAAAACAAGAGGCTGTGTATGAAGTTCCCTGTGCATGCACAAACTTGTCTATGTTAGTATGTAATAAATATGGCTGAGTCTCTGTCAAATTTGATTAGAAAAACTTTGCGCGGGTGATACGATACGATTATGGTATGCTTTTCAGACAGCTTGAGTTTTAAATGATCCGTTAGTTATAAGATATGCATTTTCAATTTCTGCTAAAATTGAGAACTTGTCTGTATCTTGAACTTTTGAATACATGAAAAAATACAATTCAAAGGCCTAAAAATTTAAATGAAATGTAGATAAATTACTGACATAAAAAACTTGTTCATATTGTGTCTCGTGAAAAAGCCGTGGCTTACTCGATTTGACAAGGAATCACCTATATAAACGTGCGTAAGCATGCTTACTTTGCTCTTAAAACTTTATCAGTTTGTGTATGCAACGTACACTATTATGTTGTATTGATAGTGGGTTAACAATATCTTTCCCCTGCGCTCGCACTTCATGAGACACACATAAACATACTTTCTATAGTTCTCCTTCACTCTCGCTCGCATAAACTTGAACGCGTACTCTGTGTATGTAGCACTGTATGAACAGCTAAAAGTTTGATGAACGTTTTGATTCTACGGGGCAAGAGGCTTATCGTATCCCAACTATGTAGTTGAAATAAGATTAAGTATTAAACCATCGCGGGAATATATATTTTTCGTACCCAAAACTGTGCACTTCGGCTCAAATTCAGCAAACTTTCTGAATTGTATCAGTAAAGCTCGTTCGATCCTATATAGTTGCTTCAAATTGCCAATGGTATAACAAAAATTTTTCTCTTCGAGCGTCATATATTTTTTATTAGCAGTTTTACATACGAGAGTCAAAAGTACCAGAGTAGTAAAAAAATTTATGAGACATTTAATTCAATGCTCGTTGAAATTGCACAATATCAATTTTTCTAAAGGCTTGGTCAAGAAGTTTATTATTTTGCGCACAAAGTATTACATGACGTAAACTTTTTACTATTACATTCATAAATGTAACAGCGTTAATAGAGTTATAAATAGAAAAACTGACCCTTTTTCCACACATGGCAGCTTACAAATTCTTTGTCTTGGTTTCAGTTGGAGCGCTAAGGTTACTAGAAATAAACGTCCCATCGTACCTCAAAAAAGGCGAGTCTACACGATTGGAGTGCAGGTAAGAGGTCACTCTCGCCCTCATAAGTATTTCTTTTTTACTTTTCAAGCGCCTTTCTCAGTTTCTTTTGTCACATTTAACCTCCTTGGTGTATTATGAAACAATTTTGTTTTTCATATGACCTAATTTTTTTATTGTTGACCTCGGGCAGTGTAATGAATATGTACTGAGTGAACAATTTGAAGTATCATGTTTAATATGTCAGTAGGGTAATATTGAAAATGTTCGTACATTTTCAGTAATTATGTTATACGGAAAAACCTTTTTATTTTGCGAGTATGATTGTGCAATTTATATCCATTTATATAAATGAATTTAGACTGAAACCATTCTGATTGTAGTTAACCCTTCTCAGAGCCATATGTCTTTAAATGATGTAATGAATGATAAAAAACGTATTTCAATTATTTCAATTTCAAACAAAGAATACTGCTCTCTTTTCATTGTTTAACTAACAAAGCCACGTGAACAAAGAAAATCGAATTGATTTTTAACATTGTTAGCCTGCAGTTTCGAGATATTAAAATGTTTTTTGACTTTTTCATTGTAAATGGTTTTGACTGTGAACACAGTGAGGTCTAATTTAGACTTTTGTTTATAGTGCATTCTGTTTGTCATTTTGAGTATCTAACAATTAATTTTTTTTTCTTTGTTAGAGTTAAAATACAATTAAACACCGTCGAATTTTATGAAATTCTTTTAATTTTTTTCTCGAATATTATTTTATTCCCTGCTCTGCTGCTTTGAAAATTTTCAGCTTCTATACGATAGAATTGATAAAATATAAATAACCATACGAAATTTTCCTCTTTCAAACTGGTAATGGTTTATAAATTTAATCGAACAATTCAATAGAAAATCTAGTTTAGTCATTTCATACCCATGTGTATGAATTGAAACAAATAAGTTAAATTCAAGCAAAGATTTTATATTGTAAAGTGGTTGAGTTCTCTACGCAGATTTTTATTTTTACTATCACTGCACAAGTTGGTGTGAGGCATACTTTTTTTTTTCGATGTTCGGTTCGACCCATGCGAACCCCGATGCAAGCGTAAGTGAACGAAAGAGGGGATTGCGCGTTTTTTTCATACCAAGCGTGAAATACGCTTTTCGTTGTTCCTGTGCCTGCGCTCTGATGCACAATTCACCCTTTCTCTCTTTCCCTATTCTCTTACACCATATTACAAACTGCAAGTAATATGAAAAGTTTTGAAACTTTTTTTATTCTACCTCTTACCAATCTTCACGTGAATATTTTGGCAAGTTTTTAATTTAGTATAAACCTCGCGGCTCGCATTAATTTTTCCAAATCAAAAACAATAGTAGATTACGAGACAAGGGAGGTCAAATGAGAATGTCTCAGATTTTATGCAAATCACATGTAACAAAGTTTCGCTTCAGTTGATAATTTACGTGTGATCTGAGACATTTATTTCCTCGGAAGAGTGATCCCTGAACGTGAGACTTCAATTTTACATGGAAAAAACTTTAAGCCGTACGATATAGTAAATAAGATATCCAAGTCATCGTGACCTAAAAATTTTTCAAAAAATTTTTTTCTAAGGCTCATTATTATTTGAGTCATGATAAAAGTTCTTTGCAATATTATTGAATAGAAAATGCAGAAAAAATTTTTCCGTAGATTTAATTTTTAAGCCATTTTACCTCTTCGCATATATTATCTGATACTTTTAATCAGGCCCAGGTCGCCTGTGCAATAGATTAAGAGCAAGATAAAGATCTCGTTGAATTCAACTTAAAGTGAGCCATACAGAAAGTGTTCGAGTGCTGTGAGTAAAAATAAAAGGATCCGCCGCAAAGAGTAGCAGTAGTAGTAGAAATAGTACCACTATATACACTGCGAAGTCAGCTTGCGAGCGCATGTACAGCATTGTATAAGGGTTATTCAAGAGAAAGGAGAGGGAGAAAGAGAATACAGTCGAGTTTTCAAGAGAGTCAGAATGCCGATGTAATGAAACTTCGCGAAGCGCAAGTTCGCGAAATATTTTAACGTGCTGCTCACCCTCTCGGTGCTCTCTTATTATCCGATGACAATTCAATGTTAATTACAATTACCAAAACGTAAACCGGCTGCGTATTCTTATTTGCGTTTCTCGACAGTGTCGCAATTAATTTTAGAAAAATTATCCTTCGGTGTTTAAAGTTGCCGAGGATAAAACTCGAAAAGATACACATTTTCAACCGTTTTTGTCAAGCACGCTTAACGAGTTTCACGCACAATTAGTGAGTCAAAAATTGGGTATATGAAAAGTCACTTGTACGAGGGTTCAAATGTTTGAAACAAGAGAGTGTGCTGTACTTGAAATTTTTGAATTGAGATGCCCAAAAAGTAAACTATGGTTAAATTGATAAGATTTACGCGGCATTCAAACTTTCAGTGTAAATTACTTCGTTGGAATCGGTGAATTTTTTCTACTCTTTGTGAAGTATCAGCGAAGAATCTATTACTTCCAAGATCAAAGAAACTTCTCTGGATCAAAGTAAAAAGAAACAGTGTTATCGCTTTTTCGTATTTAAACGTATCTTCATTCGACTCGGTCGAAGAAACGGGACGATAATTGAAAGTATTTCAAAAAATCACTAAATTGACAAAACAATCTTGTGTTGAATATATTGAACCGGCAGATATTTTCGTGTCCAAGTTTTAATATTGTATAGTATAATTAAAAAGTTTACATCCTGTTGCAATATTTTGGTATGAAGTCTTTAGTATTTCATTGACATAAATATGCCACGTATATATAAAAAAAAACTAAATCACCGTTTACATCAGTCCAGAAAATGTAACGACATTGTCCTTCGGGGAATTTCAAGCCTCACACGATGCACGCACGTCCAACTCGTTTATCTTTGCGTTATTTTTACGAGATTGAGCCCATTTATACGTTGAATAAGCGCCGCCGGAGAGAAGAATCATGCAAGGCATGTGTGTGCGTGCGGGCGGGCGTGCGAGCATCTTCAATGATACCGTGACTGACATGTACGAGCGGCTAGGTCTTTTTTACGCTTTACGAGCGCTACCCTCTCGGCGCGCGCGACCGAGGGTGCACATCGATGTAGTCGAGCTTCGCTCGGGCACGGCCGCAAGTTTACAAGTTTTTAATTGAGACTTTGCGTATTCACGTGTTTTTGCTCTTCCGCAAAACTTCAAGCTTTTTTACCCTGCCTTCTTTTTTTTTTTTTTTTTTTTTTAATAACGCGCAAGCGGATGCAGGTCTCTTGCTCGCACTGCTGCTAGTGGTTTTATGATCTTACTTTCAATGCCGCTCTGTGTGTGTGGGTGTGTCGATGTGCGTACGCAAGTGTGCGCACGTATACGTGTGCACCGCAGCAGTATGCGGCAGCAAAAACGAGGAAAGCGACAAAGCTGATGCGCTTTCGATGATGCGCGCGCGCGAGATGGATGCTTTTGTACGTAAAAACGTTCAAAAGTAAAGCTGCACGCTAGCTTTGAAAAGTTTTTCTCCAAGCCTAGAGCTCGGTATTTTTCTTTTTTATTACGATTATTTTCATTTGTTTTTTTTTCCATGTACCGACGTGTCTTTCTACTGGAAAAGACCTTTGCATTTGTACAAGTTTTACTACATGTACGCCATTGAAATCGTAAATACCCGAGTACATAATGTACATTTCTGCATTATCTTTTCTTACATTTCTGACATTGTTTTGGGCATCTTCGTTGAAAACCATCAACTTACGAATATAACCATTACATATACGAACATAACCATTACATTCGTATACAAAGATTAATTATAAAAACGGTAAAAAAAAGAAAAGAAGTTTGACTTGTTAACTACAAGATAATTCGTCGTTTCGAACAAGTGATTGACCTTCCAAATTTTTCATACCTATACAGCGTAATGTCTCTGAGAGAAATTTATCATCAATTTAATTCTTTGAAATTTTTTTATCGTTACTACTAGGAACAGTATTTTCAGTCCCGAACGACACTTTTTAATTCTCTCTTTTATGTAACCAACATTGAAACATGACAATTTTTTGAAAAGATTATTGAAAAATCGAAGACAAATATGATTAAATTTTACGATTGCAATTTATAGTTAACGAGACTTCTGTTCATAATCAAACACAAGTCACAGTACATTAGCGTTCTAGATGTAATTTCAATTTTATTTTTTTTTAAAATTACATGATATTTTGTGTCCGTAAAATGTTTACAAAACTATAATAATTTTATACGATTAAATAACATTTTATATTTCATTTATAGTGAGAAATGTTAATATACCACTTTTTCAGAGTTTTGGTATAAAAAAGTGTTAGGATATTTATTTAAGCTCTTTTTTGTCGAGAAAAATCATATATATTTTTTTTTATCTAAAAGTGCGTGCAACGAATTCCACAGTTACCGGCTCTGCGGGAGATTTAAAGATTTCATATCAGTATTATGCGAGGGGTCGAAGGACAATGCCATCCGCTTCTAAATGCAAGTATGCAAACCCAAGTGTGCGCATGTGTGCATGTGCCAAACATGAGTACGCGAGTAAAACTTGCTGCTAATTAGCTGCGAGGGTAGAACAAATAGACCTTGCATTCGGCTTTGTATTTTGCGCGCGCGAACGCGCACATTTTCAATTCTACTCTCGAGAATTCGAAACTGCCTTCCACAGTACGAGTAATAAAAGCGGTAGTATTGGCAGTGTCAGTTTCAGTTGCAGTAATAGTGATGGAATCAATAGAGTGGTATTATAATAGAGGTTTTTTAAAAAAGTATGATTTTTCTACACAAATTCAAATGCAAATGTTCGACTTATTGCATGAAGCTTTGTGATGATCTGTATGAGCAGATTTCATAACTGAAAATGCTGTCTTTTTATTAAAATATGATGATTTACTGAGATTTACACGTTATCTTTCTATAAAGTTTAATATTTATTCAAACTTTTTCACAAAAATAGTTTTAATTTTACAGTGGAAAATACAAAATCAAACCCGATACTATTTTTCAAAGAATAGAATTAAATATAGATAATTCTAGTAACCCGCTGAAGATATTATATTCATAACTTTGGAAAATTTATAAACCTACACGTACTGAAACGACAGATAGCTTTTATCGAATGTTTTCAACGATTCTCTCGACGTCAAAAAATTAAAAAGCCTTTAGGTGTGCAATCGTGAGTTGGAAGCAGCGAACGAACGAATTTGCCAACTACTCGATGAGTCGCATCCGTCTCAAGGATCGTCTCGCACTCTCGAGAGTACGTTATTACATGACAAAGCATTGCGTTACGTCAGCAAAGCGGATAGCGATCGGCTCGCGCTGACACATTTGAAATTCGCAGATACTCGACACTCCGATACAACATCGAAATAGAATAAGTGTGGTTCCGAGATGTGTGAAAAATTATCCGGAATTTTTCGCACATGTACAAAAGTGTTGCCGCAAAATGTTTTATTTTGAAAAATAGTACGTGATCACTGTGAGAATAGAAGACCGCCTTCGTACTAGATCTTCGGAAGTTGTGAAAAAATAAAACATTATTTAATTTTTATATTACGTATTTGATAATGTTTAAACTGATAAACTTAACGTTTTAATTATAACTTATTATTTAAATATGAGATTAATATATTCAAATGTAAAAATAATTTAAAATCAAACTTATTATGTTGAGCATATAATTGGTAGGTCAAATTGTATTCAAAGTAAAAGTTCAAAGATAGTTGATTAAAGCCATCTACTATTAAAACCCAAATGAAAATGAAATTAAAATGATTTTAAACATGTTAACTTTTTACAATGCCTTTAAATGTTGGTGATCGTAAGCAATAATCACTTGATCACGTTCAAGGACACGTATATTGTAGAAAATGTTCAACATTTCATGGCTAGTTTTTCGCGAACGAAAAAGTTTCTTAATCGCATAAAGCATATTAGAAATTGACATATACTTTTTTGTCATTTAATGACCATTTTATTCATGCAATTACCATTCAAAAACACTTTCAATAGTTAATTTTTAACGTTCGATCATATTCAATTGAATCACAAATTTGTTGATTCGAATTAAATAATGTCACTTTTTTTACCAATAATGGTATATATTTACAAAACCTGCTTCGAGTTTCAAGCTTGCTGTCAGAGTGAAAGCAGAACCCTGTTTTTAAAGAGACGGGCTTTGAGTTATACAATTATTTTTACTTTACCACTTGCAGATTTATAGATTAAAGTACTCGCCATCTAGTGGTGGAAGCTGAAAGGGGTTTTATCATATTTAAAGTGGTTGAAAACTAGTCTAAATATTTTTGTATGTTGAATAACATTTCCACCAGGACAAGTGAGGTGTATAAGTAGAATTGAATGTTTCTTTAGCAGTAATAGTATTTTATGGGGCAAAAACAATGAAAAAGGTTGTAGTATTAAAATCATATGGTGCAGGTCACACATGTCGCAGGTATTGCTTATTTCGTAAGCGCGCTGAACCTACGCGAGTGGTACTGGTGAGGCTTGACAGGCTCGTAAAACGTTTGAAAAGGAACTTGGTAAAGGCCACTTGAAGTTTATCTGACTATTGCACAACAGACGATCTATTGATTTGCAGATATTCAAAGCTTTTCTAAAACTGTCTATGATTAAAGCCAGATATGTTACTGTTATCGATTCCTCGCTAACGTAACTGTAAAGATGTTTGTCAATTGTTTTATGCAATCGTAAAGCTATTAATAATCAAGCAAGTTGCACTCTTTTTATTCAACTATCTTGCTTACTTTGTTTAAATCGAGAATATTGAAATAAATAAGGATAACTCAATCATACGGATGAAAGAAAGCTTGCATAAACAATTATTTTCTACTACTCTATTGAACTTAGTTTACTTGATGTTGAAGCCAATAAAAAATGTAGATTCAACTTTCTAAAAATATTTGAATGAGTTTAAATGTATTAAATTCGGGGTGAATAGCATATGAAACAAATCAAATTTCTACCTTGACCATTTTTGTTTTAAATTAAATATTTATCACATCAATACAAAAGTTATGTAACAGCTTATGGCTTTTGTAAAGACACTAAAACAAATAAAGAAACTATATTAAGGGATCTATTAGAAAAAAATTATTCTAAAAATATAATCGAACTTCACTCGATAAGCTCATTAAATAATTTAATTTTTCCCGGAGAAGAGGAAATAGGATGCTAATATAGATCAGGAATAAAGTACTCTTTTTAACGAATTCATTTCCCCGCAGAGTTACGCGCGGCTGTAGTACATGTATATAGAAGCTCGCTGTAGCTCGTCTGTCCGGTGTGGAATTTATTTTTTCAAAGGTAACGTATACGTCAACGGCTTATTCATATAGAAAGAGAGAGAAAGAGAAAGAGAGAAAGAGCGAGAGAGTCGACACGAATGACATAGCCTTACATTTTATAGACTTTATATGCTCAACATCGCGTGTTAGAAACTCCAGACTCCTCACTAACTCGGCGTTTTTATAGTTTTAGTGAAATTTTTACGTAACTTCTTGTAATACCTTTTTTCATGTATGTAAGCTGGGTTATTTTCGGGAAAATGAATTCATATTTTGTGACAAAATGAATTAAACTTATACGCTAATTAAATAGAATTAAGTATTGTCTTCCAAAACCAAAGCTGTAAAAATTTTTTGTCGTTATTTTATAAAAATATCCAACTGGTGCTAATTATTTAATCTTCATGTTAGCTGATAGCTTCATGCTCAAAAGAGCTTAAATGTATAAGTCTAGAAAGTGATGAACGTAAAATGATTCTCAGAATAGTCTCACGGTATCGTGCCTTATGAGAAATTTAGCTTTTGAAGTTTTACAACTTTGATCAAATATCTCTTACTTTTTAATTATTCTTAATAATTAATTAAATTAAATTATTTATATTATTTTCATAAAATTGAAATAATAATGCAAATCAAAATGAAGACGAGGTGAATCGTATATGAGGTAATAATAATTAATAATTCAGGCAATTTTGCTTCTAAATGAGCTTCAGCTACGAGTTGCTGTTCTCGCTTAATGAAGTGACAAACAAAAGAAACAATGAACTGTCGTGCAACAATACATTGACAGAAAAATCCAAACATGAAAACTGAGCTTATGAATTTTTTTTCATGCAGATATTTAATCATCTTCTTCCTGTGCTTTGGATTGCAATTTTGTGAGTGATAAGTACGCGTTTCCAAATAATTGATCTGTTTTATATCGCGTTCGTGGGGTGTCAAAATCGGAAATTCATTCTCAGTAGTGACAATTGAAATTCAAGCAGTCAACGATATCAAAATGACACGGTAATGCCCAAAAAGACTAAAAAAAAAAACTGAAGCGTTGCAATATCGAAAAAAAAAATTTACACACGCAAGAAATTGGTATAGGAAAGAGAGCTGCCGGGGTACCGAGGGGGTAGGCGCGAAGAGAGGCCAAATCCCAAGAGGTACAAGCCGATCTGAGGTAAATGAGCCGCAGCGGATGCAAATCAATCCCGCAAGGCGCTCGCGCGTTGTGCCCTTCTCCGAATCGTACGCAGGCTCTTGGGGAAACTCTGTTGCACGCGGCGTCAAACCTCTTTTTCTCTCTCTCTCTCTCTCGCTCCAGCTCTCTTTCTTTCTCGCTCTTTCGCTGGCGCACTTTGCAATATCGAAGAGTTAGCGCTGTACGGCGTGAGACTGTACGGGGTAGCTTATTTGTCCTGCTTTCGTCTCACTCGCACTTATATTTCGACGTATTACGTCAATGTGTAAGTGCGATGTCTGATATATACTTCTCGATCTGCTAAAAGCAAGTGGTACAAACAAACGCGATGTCAGACGCAGCTGCTTGAAGTGTATATAACACACACCTACTAACAAACAGCTCAAACGCGTTGCCTTGATTTACGATACTCTAGTTTGAGCAAAATCGAAGCTAATAATCGTTTGGACGATGCAATTTTTTATTCAATTGAGTTCTTCAATACTGGTCAAAAGCGTCGAGGAAACATAAATATCCTCATACATACAGCGAGGGTTTTTAGCATTATACATTTGTAACGAACCGCTGGTCGCACTAAATCATTCATATTCTTAAATATTGGAAATAAACTTAGGCCGCAGGCGGTAAAAGACTTTTTAATAGCAATGCACTCGCTACGAGATTAATTAAACGGGTAATGGTAATATTGCATTTTTATATTATTGAATTGAAGTACATGCGCTAATTAATCTCGGGCTACGAGCACTGGAAAATATTTCGTTTGTGAAAACGAGCTAGTACGAACGATACTTATTTTAATATCGAGCGTATCGAATTTTTTCTACATTAACTTCGTAATTTTACTTAGCTTTTTATATACGTAAATATCCATGCGCACTTATGAAAAATTCATTCACTACTCAACATGAATTCCTCTTACATATTTCATTAAGCTGAAAAGTTATTTTTAAGGAGTGAAAGTATTTTTTTCTTGTTTTGCAAGTATTTCAAAGAGAGATATAATAATGGCTATATTTGTCATTTAATGAGCACTTTTCATTCGTGTAAAGACAAAATGCCAACATTAAATTAGGTATGAAAGATGTGAGATTTTTTTCAAAAATTTCTAAAGAATCTTTTTTCAAAAATGTCTAAAGAATCTAAATACAAACAAAGCAATAATTTTCACAGTCTTTGAGTTTCTGTCTTGGTATTTAATTACACTATCAAACAGCTAGAGACTTGACAATAAGAATTTCTTTCAAATTAGTTTAAGAATGAAATTAATTTTTTTGACAAGGTGGGGAAAACAACATACATATGACATTGTGCTGTGAAAGATATCATTAACATACGTAAACTTTACAAGATAAAAAAGCTAATGTGCGCATATTAATTAAAATTTGTAAATATCATAATATTTCAAAAACAAAAGAATTGAAATTGTTAACCTTGAAAAACAGTCAAATCAATTTCATAAATACATTTTTATATTTTCAGATATGACTTGGATTCGGATAAGTTTTATTCAGTGACGTGGTACAAAGACAATGAGCACATATTTAGCATCTCACGTAAAACTAATAAAAAGCAAGTCTTCCTTACAGATGGAGTGAGAATAGACGTAAGTACATATAAAATAATTGTATCAAAACATCAATTTTTTGTTGGTGTATTTTTCCTCCCCATAAACTTGGAAGCGAAAGAAAAAAAATCGAAACTTCATCTATTGCGAAGCAGAGTCCTTTGCGACCCATTCACTAGATAAAATCGTCGTAGTCGTTGCCTTATCGCGGAACAAAAAATCAACAAAATCCACCGTGAGAGCTTTTTCTCGTTTGCAGTCCTAGAGTCAAAAGCCTTAACGGTGCTATGGATTTTCTGAATATCAAAGATCTGTGATTTTTTTTCAACTTAAATTTGGACATCTTGTAGCAGTACGTGTCAATGGACAGTCAGACTTAAGAAAACGAAAATTTATATAAAAGGAAGTGTCACTAAGCTTTCAAAAAATGTTTTTCAATTCCCAAACTTGCATTACTGTTCACCGGTAACATTTTTTACTTTTAATTATTCCAGCAAAAGATTTTTCTTTCAGTCGTCAAATAGTTTTAGCAGCTTATAAAGTTAGAGTCCGATTCCAGCATTTTGTGACGAGTATTTTTCTGATTTATCTCGTGGCTTACGGATTTATTACGTGCTTTCACTAGTCGTTTACGTAGCTAATTTTTAATTTTTCACTTTTTTGTTACTTTTTTTCATTTATGCATATGTAATTTCGTTTGAAAATCATGTTTTTTGCTTCTGAAAAAATGTATTTATGTACTTTTGTAAATGGTCGGTAGCAAAATTTTGTACGCTATATTTGCATTAGGTATAGCACGAAAAAGTGAGAACGAGCGCCAACGTATAAATACAAATATAAGTTTAGGTATGCATGTTAAGTTGAATATTTATTGCTTCATGAGTAAGAGAGAGAAAGAGAGAGAGAGAGAGAGAGAGAGAGAAGGGGAAAAGTGGGCGAGCAAAAACGAAAAGGAAGCCAAAGGCTCAAGCTTTGAAATGAGTTTCCCTTCGATTCACCTTCCATCATTTCAGGCTAGCTGAGAAATATTGCTAGGCGCACGCGCGCAAGTGTATCGCGGCCTCTTTTTTTCTTACTGTTTACTACGTGATTGAAATGATTGTTATAGGTCAAAAATGTATGTGGTGCCTACGCACGAGTGCACAATACAGTGAGGAAGGAAAAAATGGCCAATACTCGTGCGCTGGTTGTACTCCGCGATGCGATCGCTCTCGCCAAATGAGTATACGAGTTCTAATTGGGCGATAAATGGAAATTTTTTCCCTCCGTCGTCTCGCGACTGTCGTTAATATATTACTTATAAATCGCGCGCAATTAAAACAAAAGATGCCGACGCCACAGAAAGGAAAAAAAATTCCTCGCAAAGCGACTACGACGAGAGAGAGAGAGAGAGCGATAAAGAAGCGGACGAAAAAATGTACTAACCAGCTGGGCGTGCCTCTGCAAATATTGTAGGTAACAACCTCTAAGGTCGAGGTATTTGCATGCATCTTTGCTCGTTCGCTCGCTTTGCGCACGCGGTAGCTTAATTGCACGATCATAAACGTTTCTCGCTGAGCCGCGTGGCAAATGATTAATGTTTATGTGGCTAGGCGAGGAGGTGTGACTTAACACGACCATTCGACTGATCGATTCGAAGCAGCGGTACGCGTCGCTATATACAGCTTTTGTATGTACGTATATACAAGGGGGAAGGTGGAGTGTAGGCGGCGAGCACTAAGACAAACGCATAACCGCACGAAACTTCTGCGAATTCGTGTATACGTCTGCATGCATGTACCCGTAATTGTATATCTTGTTGGATCCCTTGAAATCCCTTCAATATTATGTGCTATGTATATTTGTTTGTGTGGTCCAGCATCGCTCGAATTGCCCATCGCCTCCCTGACTCTAGCTTATAGGCTAATTGAATATCTGACATTTCGTGCGCAGTTTCTGAAACTTTGTTGTATAACATTTTTAACCGCTGTTTTATTATTTCGTTCAATCTGTAAGGGTATGAATGACAAGTTACTATTGTCATTATTCTGAAAAAACACCTGTTCAGAGATTTCCAATATATTTGTAATAAAAAGACTATTTTGTTTTCAATATTGATAAATTTGATTATTACTCAGACTTCAGGATCCACTTAAACTATGAATATAAATCAAAATTGATCTTCCTCGATAATTCGTATGTTTAGTAAATTGCAATCCGAGAATCATTTTCCTATAAGCAAGTAAGAAATTTTTGCATATTAATATCAATCAAAACTTTGAAGCCAAGACTTCATAATGCACAGGCAAATCCCCTAGCTTGTTAGAACAATAGCTGAGCATACACCCCACACTCACACGGTTGCTTAGAGTTCCCAATATGGACGTTACATAGAATAGCATCGAGAGCATTGTGGAACTAAAGGATACACCATAGAACGTGTATATAACATTTAGCAATAACGGCGAAGGCGTCCCCCTCGTGTGCCTTGCACATCCGATAAAAGCAACTAAATTGCATATACGTTTATTATACCAGTGCGCTCTGAGATAGCAGCGTGAAAAATAAGACGCGCGAGAAGCACAGCATCGTCCCGTTGGCGCGCGAAATCGCAAATTACTTAGGTATGTATTATTCATCAAGTCGAATCGATTGACTTTTGTGCTCGCCTATTACCTTGAGGCAAGCAAGAAGTGTGCACGAGCCGAGACAGCGAGAGAAAGAGAGAGAGCGAGAGAGGTAGAAGTGGGTGAGGTAAGGAGGAACTAGCAAGAATCATATCAGAGAGTATCAAGCTCTTTGTGATTTCCTCGGTGGGTTTCACGAGTGCGCACACAGCATTAGGAGGGTCGTGCCATTACAGTTAAGACGCCTCGAGAGAGACGCGCCGACGCGCCGGAATAGCTCGATTTGTAATTCTATACGCCAAAGCGAACTTTTCCCTCGACTCTTTCCATCTCGCTTTTTGTACGCGAGCACACCTTTTTTCATATTATTTTCGTTTTTTTCGTATTCTCTCTCTCTCTCTCTCTCTCTCTCTCTCTCTCTCTTTCCCTCTCTGGTACTCTTTCCCTCGATTTTACTAATGAAGGAGGTAGCGCTGTTCGCGCACATTTAATGTCCACGAAGCGAATTGTATTACACTCCTACAATTGGATTTTAAGATGATAATAATGGTAATGCTTTTTGTTGGTTAATGAAATTTCGCTCACACTGATAACAATAAATGTTTGCCGGGTCTTTCTTTTTTTGTGTTTTTACTCATGTTTCGGCAGGGCAAATTATTGCATGCATTATTTTTCGTGTGTGTTGGAATGTAGTTCTTTTATATCGACACGAAAAATTCGTTAAATTTTGTGCCCTGACGAGAAAAATGTTCGAAAATGCTTCGTTAAAATGGATTTGTTTCATCTTTCTAACAGTGGGTGCGTACAAAGACGCATATCAGGCTTCTAAATAGAAGCGAAATCTTTCTAAGACATCAGAGGAAATCAAGTGGATTTTTCAAAAGTACTGGTAGTAGCAGTAGTAGTAGTGATGGTGGTAGAAGTAAAAGTAGTAGTTGAAGTAGGACTAGTACTCTGACTCCGATAAGTGAAGAGGGCAAAAAGGTAAAAAAGAAGAAAAAAGAAGAAAGGGAAGAATATAGTAGTTCACGCGTACAGCAGCAGCGGCAAAAACGCGTGTATATAAGAAAAGAAGAAAAAGTTAACAGAGAAAAATAGAAGAATGAAACAGTTTTTCTAGCGATAAAAATCATCTGGACTTTTGCGCGTACACTTCTTTCGCGTTTTTTCCTCTCCCCGTCTCAACCGTATATATACTATATACATGTTGAGTACCTTTTTACTACCGAGCGAGCTTCTATCCGCCCGCAGAAAGTGTTAAGGCGATGTAGTATTTATAAGAATTGCTGTAGAACTTTTTCACTTATTTTTATTATGACATTTTTTTCGCGATTTCATTCGGGGCTTTGGCCTTCGCTTAAGCTATGCATCTCTTGCAGCTATTTCGTTTAAATGCGAAATTTTATAATAACGGTAATACTTAATGAATAAAGACGTTTTTTTATTTGCAAAAAACTGACTATCCACAATATAGAACACCTTTTTTGCGCGTAATTTAATAGCTTTCACATGTTGCACATGCTCACATGTTTCACACTGAGTACATGTATCTTTACTTCCCTGAGAAAATATAAAAATAATATCTAGAGTTGAGGGAGTAATGAAAAAAGTTTTTCTTTCATCATCTCAAACAGAATAAACAATTAACAAAGTAATTGTAAACTTTACTCTCGACCAAAACCTGTTTTCTTCAAATTTTAACCGTTTTTTTGTAATTGATAACATTGTTGGATTGAGCATGAGTGATACATTTTTATAATGAGTACTGCAAGTTTGAAGTAAAACAATTATATGCAATGCTATATAAACCTGATGATTGAGTCAAATGCCAACTAGGCACAATTTATAAAATATACCTGTGAAGCTGTAATTCGCTAATTTAGACTAGCCTATTACGCAACAATCCCCCGCTGCGGAAACGTTCCCCACTAGAAACGAGCAGGAATAGAATTTACGACAGTCGTGACAAAAAAGGAGAATCGCGACGCAAAAGACAATACTCACGCGGTAGAGAGAATCCTAAAAATTTTCATAGATACGTTGATGTTCCTAATGAACGAAGCAAAAGAGACAAAACTAGCTGAGGATGCGAACCAGTTATCTCTGCACAGCTCCAATGACAGCGAAACGACTAGGTAACGCAAAACAAGATAAAATTTAACACGCAAATTATACCGAAAAGACTCATGGAAGTGGCTATGTTTGAGTAAGAAAGCAACGTTTTACAATTTTACAAAATAACATAAAAAATAGAAAGGCAAAGAAAAATACTTTTCAACGTTATTTTTCGAACTTTGAGTTTTTTTGAGGATTTAATCCTCAATTATTCACAGTTCTTGATCGCTTGGATGACACCAGCGCGCGCGCGACAAGTGCATTAATGCACCAAATCTCGTCGGAGCTATAGCTGCGCATAAAATATAAACTGAGATAGCCAGTACATTAAATTCGTGCTATTTCGACCGATGTGTATTATGTCGGCCGTGCCGCGCGCGCGAGACAAAAAGTGTGTTCGCTCGTGCGCTTTCCATCTCTGTCTCTCTATGCATACACACGCACAAGCACAAAAGCCGAGAATAGCTTTGATCTTTTTCACTTCTAATTATTTCCTCTGGGTATGAAATAATTACATTTTCCATTAAGTAAATCTCAAAGTTATGCCTTATAATTTTCTTTCTTCCTCCCGCTCTCTCGCTCTATCTGATGCTGCTCTCTTCCACCCCTAGTAGCTTTCTCTCGATTTCACAGTTTCCCAGATGTGTCGAGCTGCCGCGCGGCTGCCTCTCGTGTCTCTTTCCGCGAAAAAGCTTATCAGTTGTGACATACTTGATGTTCGCGAGCTTATACATGTATTATGGCATGAATATACGTATATTTGGAGTATACAACAAGCAGTTTTAAAGCTTGCCAAGTACTTGCCTCAACTCGGCTGCGCACGAGTAGTTTCGCTGCCAACGCTCGACGTAAGTTTTAATTAAGCGCGAGCACTTTCTACTGGATACAAAGTATCCCTTGCCAGTCAATCGGTTGCCATTGTCTTGCTCATCGTTTAAGAATACTTGAGGTCATAATTAATATACTTGATCGCGAGTAAACATCAAGCTTCGATGTTCAATAATTGCAATAATTGCGTTAAAGCGTTTATAATGATTTTAAATTCTAGCTGTTGTTTAAACAATTATGAATGGATTTAAAACAATAATTCTTTTACTGAAGGTAAAGATATTTTATCTTATTATACTTCTATCATTTTATTATATTCTCGTTGAATAATTTTTATTCTGCGCGTGTACTTTCTAGTATAAAAGAGAAGCGCCCTTTTACCTCATTGATATACACGGGCGTCGACTGAACATTTTTTAACGTTCTGAACGGCACGATCATTACGGAATTTATTTCATTGCTCCCGCGCGCGAGAAATGACAATTGAAATCAATCATTCGCCGAGAAAATAACCCATCGTTCGTTATGGCGATGAATCTATGACAGTTGCGCAGTGTATATACACGCGCCCATGCACATCGTATAACGTATCTATAGATAGCAGGGGCTGACAAGCTAACGCGTGTAATGATAGTGGTTAACCGCAGCACAGGAACGCGCTCGCCTATACGGAGGATGCCGATCGAGCGCCAATTAGTCCATCATCTAGTGTGTGTGTGTGTGTGTGTGTGTGTGTGTGTGTGTGTGTGTATGGACGTTCCGTGAGTATACGTTCCCAAACACAAAGTCTGAAGTCGCTTCGTTCTTTGGGATAAATTACGAAATAAATTGAGCAATTCAATTGAGATTCATGGAGGGCAGAAGGGCTTATATAAGCCGCTGCGCGTCCGGCTCGCTATCCTTCATCTTGGGTAAAAAATATTTGCAAATTAATACGCCAGCTTTCGGAGGCTCTCATGCTCAGCTAAGATCGATCAAACCTTCCTTCCGCTCGGGCTACACAGCGAGTGTACAAGCAAACGAGAGAATAATAATCCACCAGCCCCGGCTCTGGCAGAGCTAGCCTCGAGACTCGTTTTTTCTCGATTCTCTCTGTGTGCTACTCTGAACGAGGAAGCTTTTCTCAAAATAGCGGAAGTCGTTGCATTTTCGCCGGCTTGATCGTCCGACCCTTAGGACCGGGGATATATACGCGTATATAAGTGGGCTCTATCTCTCCTTCTCTCTGGACACAATGGTCGGATTCCGCTTCTCTTTCTCTCTCCCTGCCTCCCTCCCACCTCTCTCTCCTCTCTTTCGTTCTCTTCTGCTTACGGCTTCTGGCCTAAAAGCGGAACTCGAGCATATATCTGCATAATTTCTCTACCACGCACGTGATAGCATAAAAAGATTTTCTCGCAAACTACGTGACGTAGCCGCCAGCGGGTCCGGCTGGCTGGCTTAAAACCACTGCTTTAAATTTGTCAGGGATGATAATTTAGTTGACGAGGAGAACAATTTTTCCCGCGGATTTATCGCTCGATTATATCATTGGCTTTATCGCGAACTTTTTATTTAGTGTGACCTGACCCGATTTATTTGAGCAAGGTAAAATTGAAATTTCCAAAGATTGGAGCTTTGATTATACATTTTTTGCCACATTTACTTTTAAACCAATTGGACGTTGGTATAGTGTTTTTGTAATAGTTCCGCAAATGATGAGCAATCAAATGCGTTTAGCTCTTGGTAGAGCAAATCTCGTCAAATAACTTTAATCTGTACAGTGAAAATATTTCTTTTCCAAAGTTACAAGCAGTCACTGCTAACTCCCGATTCAAAATTTTCCGGAATAAATTTAAATAATGATCTATATCTTTACGATTTATACCTATGTGTATTTTAAACTACTAAAGCGCGTTTGTTGAAATACAAACGAACCCAATTGTTTTAACAAATTTCAGCAGGTTTTTCTCAAAAATAATTTTTAGTCCTTAAGTTTAAATGTATTCGATAACTTACACAGATAATCAAGGAAATTAATCAGAAAGCAACGAAGAGAACAAATAGGCGAGAAAAAGGTATCCATGAACAATCGCCGCATTAGTCATTCGAGCGCATGGTGCATACCTATTCAATTGGTCTTAGAATTATAGTTTTGAGCTTGCGAAAACTTGATAATGACTTCAATTATATCAACACGAGCAATTAAAGATAGCACAATTGTACATTGTACAATGTACAATGGGAAAATAAAATACATCAGAGTGCACAGCATACATCGTTCATTTTGGAACTAGACCAGCGTGGTCCGTTATGTTGAAATATGATTTGTTCCATATTCATAGGTGCACAGCAGGCACGTACACACATACACACAGATGAGGCAATCGCCCACTTGCACACACGCGTACGCACAAACAACACGTAGATGAGGCCGATAAACTGAATTTCCTAGATCGGATTCGAACTTTGCTTGATATTTCGATCATGCAATTTGTCTCTCCATTTCATAACTTTGAACCTTCGGGCGACATCCATTTTCATAGATCGGTCGATTTTCTTCTTTTTTTTTGTTGCTGCTCTTTTGTGCTCTTCTCTCATCTTTCTATCTCTTCGCTCTCAACAAACAACAACATCCACCCCGAGCCCTCATTCTCTATTTCTCTCTCTCTCTCTCTCTCTCTCTCTCTCTCTCTCTCTCTCTCTCTCTCTGTTTCACCCTCTCTCGCTTAGACTACTACTAGAGGAAGAGGAAAGCTCTAGTCGATGTCCCCTGACGCTCAAAGTTTTCCGTATGGAGCCCAGCACACACATATACTGCTTATTTCAAGGAATCCTAGAGAGAGATAAACTCTGGGCAAAGGATTAACGATCGAGAGAAACAGAGAGAAGGAGAGCGAGAGCAAGAGAGAGGCAACAAACACATAGTAGCTCTGGCCCTGTCATCCACGTATGCAGGAGGCTATACAAGTGTGGGTTTGTGTGAGTGTGTGTGTTGTATGTAACGTGCCGTACAGCAGCAGCAGCGGCAGCAGCAAAAGTCGCGTGCGCCGACGCGCAAACGCGCGTATTGTTATTTATGGCGTTGTCCGGAGCTAATGTTAAGTAATGATCGTGGGCCGCGCGAGCGAGCGCGAACATGCCAGCGTGAAAAAAAACGCAGCCAACAACGAGTTGGCGCGCTCGATGCCCCGAGAGACCGCCGCGCCGTTGCATGTGTATGACTTGCGGTATGTATGCCTCCAGCTCGTACGCAGCGCTATACGTCACCGGGCAAGATGGTTATATACCTATCTCACGTGCCATTCGCGACGCCGTACGCGTGCGAGCTCGTTTTTTTTTTTTTTACCCGAAATTTCGACGTCAATTTTCCACCGAGCACCCGTGTAGGACGCAGGTGGACGTTTATTTTCTTTTCAAGAAAATATTTGACTTATATTCGGTTGACTTAATGATAAAAATCAATTCCCGCGATTGCAGCTGTTTTGTGAACGTGACGACAGTGGTGGTCGGATCGCATTATAAAAGTATCGAATTTACACGAAAAAATTGCGTTGTTAGAAAGCGACGAGCTGGTTGTCTGGTATAAAGGCAGAAAGACGAGAGATAGAAAAAAAAGCTGATGATTTAACTCAATTTTTCAAATACTTTTATGTGACGTGAAGGAAACAAGCTACACGGCCAAGACACACGAAAATAACTTTTGAGCGAGTTAGTTTCGAAAGTTTAGAAGGGGAAAAATTTATCGGCAAAATTCGCTTATACAGAGGATAAAATTAAAGTTTGACGGTACTGAGGCAGCAGCGCGAAAAAGAAGTAAAAAAAAACGAGAGAGAAGCTTGTCTCGCGCACGTAGCGCTGACCGAGGCTGTTAACCTATACGTTCGTGTCGAGTGGCCAAGACAGCGTATGAAAAGCCCATAGAAATTTACGCGCTCTAGCTGGTCTCGTAAATTGTTGATACGACGACGACGACTACGAAAACGACGATGTATTTCTTATACTTGTCAAATGAATGTTAACGTTGACCAAAGCCACCGTTTGTTGAGCTGACAATTCAAAGGTATCTTTGCTTTTTTCATGTTGCAGCAACACAGATCGAACAACCAAATTCTGCAGCTGCAGAGTGTTGACCTTAATTCCACAGGATATTATATGTGCGAGGTGAACGCCGACAATCCACCCTTCAAAGCCGTAAAGGGGGAAGCTTACATGGAAATTATAGGTATGACAAATCAGTACGCGGATTTAAAGCGAAACTCTACGGCACGGTGTAGAATTTCTTCGTGAATATATTTTGAATGCAGCTGCTAAGAACGGGGCTTTTCATTCCACCGAACAATTCGACTGTATCGCGATAAAAGATTTACACCTCGACCTCGGCGGAAGTACAATCGAGGAGTGGTATATAATATCGGATAAGTTGATAGCCGACGTCCGGCGATTACATTTTTCACGCTCAGCCACGAGTACTTTGCCATTGAAAATCAACGCGACGAGAATACATTTTTCTCTACGCTTGTAACACTTCTTTTAACTCTTATATATTTTTGTGTCTGACTCTCTCCCTCTCTGTTTCGCAGACCCACCGCGAGAAGATCCGAAGATTACCGGTGAAGAGGAGATTTACGCCAGCGGCGATATTCTCGCGCTAAATTGTACTAGCGCTTTTTCTCATCCAGCGGCTCGTTTGCAGTGGTTCATCAACGATTCTCCAGTAAGCCGCTTGCTTGTGTATATACCGAGCTCTCCCATCTTCCTTCTCAACTTCTTTTTTTGCTTTGTTATTTTACTTGTCCTATTAGAATTTTATTTTGTTACTGCGGGATTTTCCTTCTGAGTAATTATTTACACGATGACGCAGATAAAGAGGCTAAAAATCAATGTCTCTCTTGGAGACGCGAACTCGTCGGAACGGCGAGGAAAATATTTTCTCACTTGTCTCGTGCATACTCTTATTATCCTATAGATATAGATATATATTTAAGAGCCGCATGATTTAATGGTATTGAAACCGTCGTTACCAAGACGACGAATAGAGGTAAGGCCGGCACGGGCTTGAGAATATGAATGATTCGATATTTCAAGTGTCGTCTACGTCTGTCTGGTACTCGGTGTCAAACACATCACTAGCCTCTTGATCTCCGCCTCGTACAATACTTTCCAGCGCCAGAGATCCGCCTTTTTGAGCTCATAATTTTTGCATCTGCGCATAAAAGTTGCTGCACGGTGCAGTTATCGCGCCGTAGTCGGATTAATGCAAATCTTCGATTTAATAAATTGTAAAGTTGCTTACGATAGGCGATGCATTGTCTTCTAACTCGTGTGAGCTTGAATTTCAAAACTTTTGAAGATTTGCATTTAATTTCGGGTTCGTGTGGCTTGCATCGATAACGTCTGAGCATGAAAAAACCGACTTAATGCACGAGTAATAACTGCTTTTTCTTTCAAATCGAATTTCAAAGAGGAATTTCGTGTTTTGCCTTTACTCACTTCGAGTCTACCCTCTGTATCGATCGGAAAATTCCAACCCTTTCTTTATTATTAACTTTTGACTGTTCTTGATTTTAGATCGAACCCGATTCCGAAGTACTACATACAACATCGCACGGTCTGCACAGTACTCTATCGAATTTGAGATTGGAGTTGAACCCAGTTCACGTTAGCGAGGGCAAAATTCAAGTCAAGTGAGTATGAGCATTGTATAATAATTCATTATTCTTTTCAAGCTAATTTTTATCTCATTACTTGTAAACTTTGAGCTTGTTACAACGTCGATTAGAAAGAAAAACTTGAACATTGTTTCAGATGTCAATCGACAGTTCGAAGTTCGTTGTTGGTGAAGAAAAAGCCCTATTACGACGTCCGATCGACGGTGATTTACGGTAAATATTATGTCGAGGGCGATTAAGCTTCTCTTTATTGATTAAGTATATCAGGAGCTTATGTAAATTAACCGAAGCATAAAAGTAGATTTTCTCGCTTCGCAAGGATTTATCCGCTGTATTCTCCATCCATCTCTCTCTCATACGTCTATTGTGCGCGATAACAGAGTTATGCATAGGTGCAAATTCATTAAAGATGCAGATGCAAATCAAGCATCTACGTTCTCTGATGAAGCTGTAGCTTGCTCGCGTATGCGGACTTGCTAATACTATTTGATTAATATACCACAATAGCTGACATAGTGTGCTTAAATAAATGTATCATTACATAATTTATATGTGATATATACTATAGGGATCGAGTTACGTTGAAATTATTACGACGACTTTGTTCTCTCGTCTCTGCAGCCAATCCAATATAAAATTTCGCTAGAGAAAATACGGTTTTAGAGGTGGCGGTGCGCGCGCGCACGGATGATGAAAATTATTCGTAGAGCAACAAAATTGCTCTACATTCTTTCCTTTTTTCATCGCGCGGCTTATTCTATTCTCTGCGCCGCGTGGAGAAAATAACTCAATGCTGCTCTCGTGTGCACCGAGTAAAGTCTTTTTCTCGGTACACACGGCTCATTTGCATAATATAACTGCAAGCGAGCACAAATAGCGTGGCACACACAAGTTGGATTTCGGAAAGGCGTGCGTGGTGTGTGTTTGTATGCGTGCGCCAGGAAGAACGAGAAAATCACGCGGCTATTTGCCTCTCTTTAAATGGCGAAGCGCTAATACGTTCCATTCGGATTTGTTCGCGTTTGCTTTATTTTTGCGACTCGTGCGCACGCAGAAGCAGCAGCCGGCAAAACCAGAAGTAATAATACGCATGTATATAGCACATAGCAGTGTGCGCAGGGCACAGGCAGTATCAAAACGAGCTTAATTACACGATGAGAAATGGACGATGGAAAAAGCGATTAGTTTTGCCAGTAGCACTTAGCTAATGCCAATTGGGGTCTCTACTCGCTCGCTGGCACGGCGCGCGGCGCTCCGGCCTTACTGCTCGTTGCTCGGGCTTCCTTCTTTCCCATGCGCCACGCCGTTGCTGCTGCAGTCCAGGTAAAACGATCACTGACCTTCTGTGCCGTGTGCTCGGCTCTGCTCTGGTTTGCTCCGAGCGATGGAGAAACACAGAGGGTCGAGAGCGAGAGAACGAGATTAGCCAGCGGAAACAGGAAAAGCCGCCGAGAAGTAACTTGAAAAGAGAGAGGGAGAGAGAGAAATCAAGAGAGAGAGAGAGAGAGAGAGAGAGAGAGAGAGAGAGGAATAGCTTTTAACGACCTTCGATTTTCTTGTTAGACTAAATCGTTCATGGAACGCCTCTTGCATTTACCCTTTCCCTTGCGCGCGCCAACTCCAGCTCGCAGGCTCGTTATTCTCCTTCTTCTATACCGTTTATGACCTTACCTACACATGCGTATCTTATATGTATGTAATGTGCGTGTTACGTCTGTACGTGTTTGAAAGCAATGCTCAACTGCTTTATTATTTTCTGCTTTTTTTCCGTAATTTTGATTTTCTAAATTGAAGTTGAAATCGGTTTTTCGATTGTACGGCTGATTCGTGGATATTGCCGCTACGATGCAACTCGGATAAAATGAGTTCGTTCCTTCTTGATGTTTCAGTACGAGGCTTCGCGGACGTGACGATACCGTCGGCCGCACTGTTGATCTGTAATCTACTGTTACATCCACTGTTGAGAAAGTAGCTGTTCGTCGTTTCTTCCTTGGGACCATCGTGATCGTCGTCGGTGGCGTCATCGTTAATGCAGCGTCAAATCTTCTTCGAGGTACGTGAAGAGACAATCATCCTTGCGACTTTTTGACTCGGCTTCGCTGCAATGAAAAAAAACGTCACAGGTACTGGACGATACCGATTATACGATAATATGGTCAAGTGTTAATTATTTTTCATTTCTCAAATGTATAATGTACAGTTCACGTCTATATGGCTAAATACGATTGTTAGCGCTGTTTTGACTGGGGATAGATGCAAAAATGTATAAATAAATGACGTTATATTATGTAAAATACCCCGTACGCGCGTGTACGATGTATATTATAATGACGGTTTGAATGGGTGCGCGAGATTCTTGGATATATATATCTATATGGCCGATTCTCTGTGAAATCGAATGGCCAAAAAATTTTTTTTTCTGCAAATATGAAAAACTTGCTGTTCCCGATGTCAGAAATGTCCCCAAATTTTATTAGAATTTTTGGGACCATCTATCACTCTTTTTCAGAGGCCCGAAGTTGGCAATTTTAGGGTTTTTTTAAAATTCATGAAAAATCACAAATATTAAAATAATTCCTGGAATAAAGTAGAATGATTCAAAAGTAAAAGTGCCCAGCAACTTTTTTGTTGGAAATTGTCCAAATTTTCAGAAAAAAAATATGACAAAGTGATTGGAACAATCTAGGTAAATGTAAAGCAAAAAAACTGCAAAAAAAACATAAAACAAGAAATCTACTCGAGTTCGAACCGGACTTTCATTTCCTAAACTATGTAAAAACCTTCCCAAAGATGTCAACTAATGCCTGATAAAGTTTTGTAATGGGCCTTAAAGTTTAACTCAATGTAGACAACAATGTGTGGTGAAAAACGTGCAAAAAAGGTCAAAAATGGGCCTAAAATGCCTAAAATCACCAAAAACAGCCATTTTCAGTCCTTTTTTGCACGTTTTTCGCCATACATTATTGTCTACATTGAGTTAAACTTTAAGACCCATTACAAAACTTTATCAGGCAGTAGTTGACATCTTTGGGAAGCTTTTTACATAGTTTAGGAAATGAAAGTCCGGTTCGAACTCGATTAGATTTCATCATTTTTGTCCACTTGGCAGTTTTTTTGCTTTACACTTACCTAGATTGTTCCAATCACTTTGGCATATTTTTTTTCTGAAAATTTGGACAATTTCCAACAAAAAAGTTGCTGGGCACTTTTACTTTTGAATCATTCTACTTTATTCCAGGAATTATTTTAATATTTGTGATTTTTCATGAATTTCAAAAAAACCCTAAAATGGCCAACTTCGGGCCTCTGAAAAAGAGTGATAGATGGTCCCAAAAATTCTAATAAAATTTGGGGACATTTCTGACATCGGGAACAGCAAGTTTTTCATATTTGCAGAAAAAAAAATTTTTTGGCCATTCGATTTCACAGAGAATCGGCCATATGTAAAGTTATGAGGAGAAAATATGTGGCAGGCTGTGCCTGAAAATTATACATATATATATATATCCTTTCAAGCTGTTGTTTTAGTCTCAATGCTGATAGCGCATTCGGTTTTTAAACGAACTTTTCGATTATCTTGATTGCGGTTAGCACAATGCGATGAGATAATATGATAAGTAAAATAAAATTAAAATTAAAATTAAAAAATTGTTGAAAACTCGATCGGATTCATTTAATCTTCCATAATATACACTTCCATACAATATTAGTACTTCCATTCAGCGCATTTGCAATAAATTTATTACGTTATTGCTATAAGTTAGATGTGTGTGACATATGTAACTACAAGAGTCTCTCCGCTAGAAAATAATTATGCATACCGATTTTTGATTATGAAAAGTAGCACCCGGCTTTAATAATAGTTTTTCAATGCGGTTCATTCTTTCCATCCGCTCCATACAACGACTGACCGCGAATTTCTAATCGTAGCTTTTCTTTCTTATTTCGCGTTTTAATTTCGAGTATTTTTCAAAACCTTTATTAAAACTCAAAACCTAGCTTTGCTGCATAAACTTGATATGTGCACATACAATCAAGTTTTTCATACATAAAGTCAGCTTTCAGCTATATATGTACGTGCAAACATGCGCATGTCAGCCCTAAGGCGTAAGTTTACTAATTATAAGTTTTAATTGCAGAATACGATTGGCAAATATACACGCTATGTGCATCGGAGACCCAATAAATCTCGAGATTAATAATTCTTCTTGGTACGATTAAATGCGAATCCTTGTCAAATTCTATCGCGCGAGACAAATTTCATATTTTCATTATTCTTTGTGTGCCACAGAAGAAATATTTGGTTTTTTCCATTTGCGGAATGAAAAATGTGTTGAAACACGCGCGGCTTGTAACATAATCGGCACATACACGTGAGCATCGAAAAAAAGCAAAACAAACAAAAAGAAACAAAGCTTACGGTTTGGATAACTGGAGCATCTCTCGTGTACGCACACACATGTCCGTATGAATCGCGATGATGTACGCGTGTAAGCCTCTTGCGAATAATAAGGCTTATGTATATCAAGGGAAGAGGAGCCAATCTCACGTGTGCGAAACTTCCGACAACAAAGGCTGAAAAATAAAGAGCGCGAGCGAAGTAAAAAAGCAGTGGCTGGGTGAATACACCGGGTTATACGGTACCCCGGAGAGGCAAAAAAAAACTTGCACCAGAGAGAAAGAACGAGAGAGAGAAAAAGACACGCAGAGTTGCTGCTTACCCTGAGTAAAGGCGAAAAAGCAACGGAGTAGACTACGGAGAGACTCTCGCGCGTGCCATTCAGCAGTAGAAAGTATTTTCCAACCGGACATTAAAACGAAAGAAAGCCTCGAACGTATCGATGTCCAGAAACAAAACATATGAAATTTTTTTAAAAAAGAAAAATGGGATATTGCTAATGGAGTATACGTAAATATAAATATTTAGAGATATGTAAGTTAATAATCACTACAGCTGCAGTGGCAATATAGAGTAAGATGAGTTTGAGTAGTTACGGAAATGTAAAAAATTTTAAATGTATCGAAGGTGCACAGTCATTTATTTCAATGCATTCTGAGTGAATGAGCAAACTTGTGTACATATGAAATCGACGAAGATAAGTTATTGAATTTCATAATGACCCCTGTTCAAAATTAAAAAATACAAATGAAAGTTATTTAATTGATAATAATTTTATACGAGCGTCAAAACGTATAAAGTATTTATTTCCGAGGCTATTATCGGTTCGTTTTAAAATCTAAAATCTAACTTTTGTAATATAAAAATAGCTGTAAAAATAAATATATTTAATACGCGCAATGAAATGAAATGTGGATTTTAAACAACTGATATATTATGAAGAATATGTGAAACAAAGTTTCCATTTCATGAATTATGTACGTTATTAAGATATTGTTTCCACGATACATGAATAAATGTTGTATGGCCTAATGTGTATATAACGCGATTGAATAATAAATTATATTAAAATTAAAAATTTAATGAGCGACTATTATTTCTTGTTGTGTATACCTCTCTGAAAAACCTTTACCGATTTTAATTAATTTATAAATCCTTTATTTTCAAACGTTGACTGCAACCATTTCAGTACTCATTCGATCGTAAACTGGAAAAATCAATTTCGGTAAAACATATATGTATGTATGATGTTTATTTGCCAAATTCACACTTGATTCCACGTGTATCTGCAATAACTGAACATACTTCATAAACTCTACAACTTCCAGTTAAAATTCTTGGGTAAGTATCAAATAAATTAGAGTCTTTTTTAATATTTTTTTAGAGAGAAGATATTAATTATGTGTTTACAAAAGGATATTCACCGCACTTTTATGATATTTTTTTAAAATAAAGCTGGAAGTATATTTTTTCATGAAATTACTCATTCACTGAGAGGAAGTTACATTTCTCGTGGTTCATATTTTAATAAAAGCGAATTAACATATATTTCAAATTAAAACGTCGTATATTGATATTACGCTCTGCAACATTAATATCCAATCGACATTTCGACTTTTTACAAGTGAGAGGATCATATAATCTTACTTTTTTACAATCGAACTTTTTGCTCTCGCACTGGCGAATAATTGGTTTTGCCATCGAGTCACTCAAGTCTTGCGCGCAGTAAGTAACGCGCTATACATAAATTGTCATCAGGTTGAATTTTATGGAAAAATCTCCCTTTTTTGCCTTGCAAACGAAGCTTGCCCCCAGCACTTTTTCTCTTTCCCAGGCAGCACCACTTGTTTGGGATAGGTGAGGAAAAAGGAGTGCCGACGAGAGCTAGAATATTATTGCAGATATTGAAATTGTCGATGATGAATAAAATTAAAGCTAGCGGCACAGGCTACCGTCATAAAATGCAAATGATTTTTTGAACTGAAAACAATTTTTCCATTTCGACGAGCTCGTTTTATTAGAACAATATAAAAAAATGTGAATTATTGTAGAAGGAAATTTTATTACTGTTAGGAAATTCATGTGGCTGAAAAAAACTAGAACGTCTAGGATCTTTCAATAGCGAGAGAAAATCAAGTTATAAATGTACTGGAAATTATGGCTTAGAGTAAAATTTTTTTTCATTATAAAATGTAAATACATAAAAGTGGAATATCCTTCTTGGTCTATTCTCTTGGCCATAATTTGGTTACGTAACATACGTAGCATATGTAACTTGTAGAAGCACATTTATGACCATTAAAGTTGGTACAAGAAATTTAATCGAGCTTATGAATAAAATAAATTTTGCAAGATAGCGGTCTGCCCTCGTTGTTAGTTTAACTCTGGAATTACCTCAAATCTTCAAATCCAACTGAGTGTCGAAAAAGCTCTTCTAACAGTCTGTGGCTTATTAGACATTCATACGGGTTTAAATCAAGTTTTGAGAAAGTAAATTATTCATTGTGCTGATGTCCTTTCGAGCTGGAGACACCAAATCAGCGACAATAGTCTCCCGTGACTTGTTAACGTAAATCATTCAACGACCGTACATGCATCATCGAAGCTTAATCATCGTCCGTATGTATGAAGCCATAAATTCAAACCAACAAACGAACGATTGCACGTGTTAATTCATTGATTCGCTCGAACTTGATAATGACCGTCACACGGACTTGCGAGCATTCGAAATTTCCATTCGATTCTGGTTCGTCAACGAGAAGTTTCTTGAAGCATCCGCGAGATCGATAGAATGCAGATCAGCTCGTAAACTCGGCCCGCAGGATCGTAAACGCATCGTATAATCAATCACATAAACCACGATATACATAAATTCCGGCTTGTTATCGGTCTGTGACCGAAGATTAGTTGCCGACAGCGGCTAAGTTATGTAAGATAGATTTTCGAGAAAGTACGCGTACGGTAGCGAACGTACTGCTGCGCCAACCTATAAACATTGCGCCCGCGCGCGTACGAGTGCAAAAGGTTTACTGGACGCGCATGCGGTCGCTTTATTTTGCTCTGCACACGTACCTATATGTATACATGCACATTCGTTCTCGCCTCGAAACATATACAGAAGAAACAGCTCGAGGGTGCGAGAGAAGGAGAAAGAGAGAGAGAGAGAGAATAGAAGGCATGACCTGTTAATTGCTTGGCATTTAATTACCATAGAAGTTAGCTTGAATATATTTGTGTATATATATATGCGCGCAAGCTCGAGACGCTAGACGCTAAATTAAACAGTGCCCAGGCGCGTTCTCGACTCCATGTGCTACAAGCACGCACATACTTGCGCACATATACTTATATACGTATGCGTTCATATCTCATACGGGGATTTTCACACCGCACGAAAAAATACCGAAGCTGCTACTACTGCCGTCACTGCTACTGCTGCTGCTGTTGCTGCTTCTCGCAAGAGCATTTTTAATTGTGCGCATGCCCTTTTGATGTAGAGGTAGGCTATGAGTGAGTGCGAGAAAAAGCTCCGCTACATATACACGTGTATGCACATGCAAACACACATGCGATTGTGTGTTGTGTGTGTATGTGTCACCCTAGTTTCTTTCATTGCGAACCATAGCCAATTCTTTTGTCTCGAGGGCACTGAGATTCGCAAGAGCGAGAGAGAACGAAACAGAGAGAGAGAGAGAGAGTCAGGCGTGCTCTTGCGCTGCACGTAAGAGGGCTTGAATATCGTCTTCATACAGCCAGCTTCTCGCCGGCCCCTTCTGTAGTACACGCGGGCTTGTCTCTCTCTTTCTCTCCCTCTCTCTCTTTTTCTTTTGCTCGCGCTCGCTCTCTTCTTGAAAGCAATGAGACACTTGCTCCTTTTTCGTTTTTCTTTTATTCTTTATTTAGTTTTTTGCCATTTCTCCGAGCTGTACACTGTTATTGCCAAGCTGCGAAGCAGCCTCCACACTCACTCACTCTGTATGTACTAGTGCTCGACTCGACGTCGACTCGTAGTCGTCCTACTGCTATACTCTTCTAACTTGAGACCTTTTCAGTTAAAGCTAAGTAAATGCTACGTGTTTTCACGGTTTTCTTCACGTTTCACTCCGCATTGGTATACTCATTTAACGCCAAGCTACTTGCGCGCGCCTTCGCGCACCCAGGCTCGGCCGAGGACGCTACAAACCTCTCAAAAGCAAAATCTCGTGACGTCTATGAGTTATTCATGCAACGAAAGAGAGAGAGAGAGAGAGAGTGGGCGCACGCAGCTTTTGCAAAAAACCTTCGGCTCGGTGTGCATCAGCGCAGCATCAGTAGCACCTGCGCGCGGCCGATCGATTGTACGCGTTGCACGTTTTAAAAATTTAAAGGCTTTGTTCATCGAGTCTCGGGGCGAGATAACGAACAGTACTCGCTTGATATAATTAACGCGCAAGGAGAAAAGCTCGAAAGCTTGAAAAAATAATCGAAACGTGGTTGCGAGCATCTCTTTTTTATGTAGAAAAATCTCCTTTTTATTCGTATACTGCGTCGTTGCTCCATAAGTAATTGAAGTAAAATCATCAACAGCAGTTTGCTCAATCCATTAGCCGTGAGCGAGCATTTAATTTAAAAAAGATTTTAAAAAATTCCTTCATAATTCAGAGCGTCTGTCTCGCTCTCTTTCTTGCTCGAACTTGCGCGCCGAGAATTCGCTTCGCTGCGACTTATCTCTGTAAGAGCGATTTTGCGCGCGGAATTTCTTTTTCCCTAATCTCGTGAGAAATTTGCGTGGCAAGATCGGGATTTGCAAAGCCACGCGACGATTGACGCCAAAGGCTACGTACGTGCGTGCCTCACGCGTACACGAGTATTATATATAAGCGCGCGCATGCTACGAAAGCGACGTATACATTGTCGCTCGCGTGCTACAGAGCTGCCGGCTTATAGCTATATATACACGTACATAACGTCGTATACGTATTATAACGCGTGCTCAACTGTGTCTATAATTTTGCCCCCCAGTCGTTATAATATTATGTTATACATTTTTGCCAACGATCAAACTAAACGTCAGGAAGTTTTGGATGTACTCGAAACGAACACTTCCGATTATATCGAGCATCGAGAGCTTCGCATATTATATACACGTATTGTATGTATAGAACGCTCAGGGGTCGGGATATTATCCAAGAGATACACATACGCACGCAGTTCGCGATCACGACGTGCTTAGCAACAATGTATTTATCAAAAAACAAATTCGTTCGAACGCAGATTGATACGCACGTGAAATGCGCGGGCGAGGGCAAATTTTTTTTATTATTTTTCATCGCGGACGCATACGAGCAGGCCACTACTACGGCGCTCGTGCTTCTGCTCCCGATCGGAAAAAGTTATTCAGCTTTATACTCGAGACTATAACGGCTAGTCAATCAAGTAGTTTAATCGAAAAATCCGGGCGCGTTCGATCGTAAAATGCCCATTGAATAAAAGTGTACGGTATCGCGTGGTACTTGATTTGTCTGGTACTCAAAAACATTTCATGTAGCAGCATCGCTCGAAGCGAATCGGCCGTGATCGTAATATTTTCCGCATGCGTCCGACGATCGCACAATGAGCCTCTCTCTTGGCTCTCGAGTCGGGTCGGAGAAGGAAATGTACATTTTACCGAGATTGAGTCGTAAGATATTCTAATTCGCACTTGGCTATTATTTTCATTTATCATGGCTGGACGATTCTTCGGGCCTAATGAAAGCTTTCAATGTCAGATTCGCATGATTGAGTACACAGTGCTACTCCTGTACGTATGAAATATACAAAGACTCGATAATTTTCGACACTCTCCAGACGACAGTCCAATTCATTGCCGCATAAAAGATGGATGAAATAAACAAAAAGTACTTGCAGGGGGATGGGTTGGTGTCCCGAGCATAATGCACGCGTGCGCGCACTTACATACGTAGTGTAACGCGCGGGGCTATTGTGTTGAGCCGATCATCCCCGTCACGAGCAGAGATATATGCAATGTGTATAGTAGCATAGCCGCGCCATTGAGCATAACGCGGCGCATATAGGCGCGTGCTATTATGTCTGCTTGTACACGCGTGAACGTTTGGGAATCATCAATGCGTAACTCCGTGTCCGTGTGTTCGAATACTCGATACGCGGTTGATTCGCTTTTTTTTCTTCGCGTTTTCTTGTGATATAATTCATCGAGTTAACGCGTTCGAGAGTACTTATGGTCGGGCGTTGGCTGATCGCGCGGAAAAAAGTGTACACCGAAGTGGAGTACACTTTTACCGTGTAGAGAAAAATACGTGCCTCTGATTAAATTATTAAACAAGGCATCTCCGTACATTTATATGCTTGCGAGTACCCACGAACGCTCGAAGCTCGCAGCGCATTAACCGATCAATCTTTAGCTAGCTCATCCTCGTTTGTTCTCATCTTTCCGAATAATATGCTTAAAATTTCACCTGGTACGGCTTGAGGTGCGCTATGTTTTCTCGTGAAAGCGCACGTGGCTATGTATATTCATGCTCATGCTGCACGTACACACGCGCGAGATATACGTACATACACACATACATACACACGCGACGCGTATTCGCTATTTCACGATACCTTCGCGCACCCTAGCGGCTGAACTTGCGAGTTAAAAAGAACCGAGTAAAAATTCGAAATAACATGGGAAATAAAAGAAAATAATTTAAAAAAATTATTTAACGAGTTCGGAGCATGAAATTAACAATAAAAAATGAAGCTTCAGAACAATAAATACCTTAGAAAATATAGTTTTCATTTATTATTGTTTTCATTGATTATATTTTAATTAATAAAAATTCAATATACCGCAGAGCGAGCCTTAATAGTATCGTTTTCTGCTAACTGTTCTCACAACGAAGGGAGGGTTACATACGTTTACATCGCATCAAAGGAGAACAGTTGTTAATTAAAAATGAACAGTAAGAAAGTGAAAAAGTATTGTTCTGTGCCAGGTTGTAAAATAACCGACAACAATACAATAGTGCATAGGCTACCCTTAGACCCCGGTATGGCATATAAATGGTCAGTTGCAATCGGAGTTAAAAAACTAACCCCGTGGTTGACAGTTTGTGGTCAACACTTCAACAGTAGTGATTATAAAACTAGTGAGTAATTTTATTTAAATTCATTTCTTCAAAGATTTTGTATTGAATCAAAATGTTACAAAAATGACTTTTTCCAGGTGCTCAAAAAAAATTAAGAAGTACAGCTGTTCCTACCTTAAATCTCCCTGATAAACTTTTGACTGAAGTCAAAAAAGATAAAAATTTAGCTGTCAAACGCCAAAACCGATTAGAAGAAAGGAATGCCAAAAAAATAGTGTTGTAAGCATACATAAACTTTTATATTTATGAATTTTATTTACTGTATTATGAACTGTCTCTTATACTTTGATTTTTGTTTTTATTATTCACAGAGGCAATAGCTTACCAGATAATGTACTTAATCAAGAAAATAATGAACTGAACCAAGACGTACAGTATCCAAACTTATCAGATGATTTAGCAGCAACATATAATGAAAATTTGGAAAATGATAATTTCATAGACAACTTGGAAGTTTGCCCTCTGTTAGCTAATACTACTCAGGACAATCTAGAGGTTCGTCTCCCACTGGTCAATACTACTCAGCATAATATTATGAAGAACACTGAAACTTGTAATAATTGTAAGTGTAATGATAAAAGTGGAGTGACTAATCGAGTGATGAAAATCGATAAGAGTGTGCAAGTGAATTCAAGTTTTCTTTTGGATTATTTGAATACTGATGCCAAACTAAGTGCATTCACTGGATTAACATCTCACAGTCTTCTTACAACATTAGAAACTTGCATAAGGAAATTAAGAGAACATTACCAAAACAAGACACGCATTTCCATCAAAGATAATATAGTTCTAGTGTTCATTAAATTAAAACAAAATATGACTTTCGTTGCACTAAGTGCTTTATTTAAAATATCCAGTGCAGTGTGTAAAAAATATTTTGTTTGGTGTTTACATGAATTACATGCTGTACTAAAAACATTAGTGAGATGGCCTGGAAGGGAAGAAATTTTGCAAAATATGCCAAAATGTTTTAAAAAGTATACAAATACAAGAGTTATATTAGATTGCATGGAAATAAGAATAAAGCAATCCAAGTGTCTAAAGTGTAGAATTCAAACTTATTCTAATTATAAATCATGCCACACAGTGAAAGTAATGTTGGGTGTTACACCATCTGGTATGATTTCATTTGTTAGCAAATGTTATGGAGGTCGAGTGTCTGATAAAATGATATTCAATAAATCACATTTAATGGACAGAATGAAGAGAGGAGTCGATGCAATTATGGTTGACAAAGGCTTCCTAATTGACCGAGAATGTGCTGAAAATGATGTTAAATTAATAAGACCTCCATTTTTGAAAAAGAACCGTCAATTTACTAATGAAGAAGCGAATATGAATGCTGCTGTAGCTGCTGCCAGGGTTCATGTTGAACGCAGGATTCAAAGAATTAGACAATATGATATTTCAACAGGACCTTTGAATACTCAACTAGTTCCATACATTAATCTTATTTTAAAAGTGATATGTGGAATAACCAATTTATATGCACCAATTTTGGCAATGAATAAATTCATAGGACATGATTAATTGTGAAATACTATTTTTATATTCAAATATAATTATATTTTTATTAATAATAAAATATAAGTTACATGCAATGTTTTGGTTCAATTTTGGTTTTTTGTGTCAATTTATTAATTAGTTTAAAATAATTTAGTTTCTAATACAGGAAGTAGGTACTTGAAATAGGCGTCTTTCAATGAATTCAACATATTTTCAACAAATTTTTGATCATATCCAATTTCAATTACTGCAATTGAATGATCAAACGAGGAATACACAATAAAATGACACTTTGGACAATTTAAGAGCAGCATCCCTAGTTGTACTTGTCCATAATATTTATGCTGCTCTTTCAGTGCTATGTTATCATTCTGCTGGTAAGTAAACTGAGCGTTTAATAATACATCATCAGCAGAATTAGTTTTACCTTCTTTAGGGCACTTTACTTCCAATAAAATGTTTTCGGATCTCACAATACCATCAGCACTGTATCCAAGCCATGGTACATTTGGGTGAACGATCAGGCCACATCTGTCAACAGTGACTTCCAACAACTCAGCATATAAATCTAATGCTTTTCCCTCATTTCTTAAACCATATAAAGTGTCACTCGTTCCTCTGAAAGTTGGAAAGAAAACTTTCTCTACCTTTTTTACCCAATCTGGAGTTTTGTTAGAGCAGTAAGTGAATAACTCATAGCACACACTGCCAGTTATCCTGCATCTTCTTGCATTTTTCCACAAATTATTTGTTTGATTTATAGTTTTCATGTACAGCTCAACAGCGTTTGACAAACTAATTTTAACATTTCTTAAGTAGAACTCAGTAAAATTAGTATCATTTTTGTCCTTAATCCAGTCTAAATGACTTGTGTTATCAAATAAACTGCGAATGAAAGATAATTGTAATCTATTTCTTTCGTTAACATTAGTAGTCACAGGAAGAGTTTCTTTCGTATTCCTTCTTTTGGAAACATGAATTGCAGCTTCCCCATTTGGCCTCTCTGTACATATTTAGCTTTAATTTAATGTATTCATTTTTATAATTTTTTAAAATTGTATGCATTACCTGCTATTAGCGTTTCAAAAAAAAAATCTTTCAATGGCTGTTTTACTTCAATGACCTTGGCATCTACACGTTGAAAATGGCAGTACGATTCGATCGGTATTATTTCGTCATAGGGTAGTTTTAATTTTTTTTTATATTTGCCCCATTTCTGTTTCACATCGGTGCAACTAATGTATTGTAAATTTTTCGTTCTTTCACTGTAAATAAATATAATATAAATATTAATATCCGTAAGTAGTAAATCAATAATTTTAAAATTGGTGATATAAATAAAATTATTAATAAGCGTATTTATTCAACAATATTTACCGATTGATTTTCATGAGAGTTGCGAAAATATGTTTACACTTGTCACCTTGGCCAGCAGGACACTCACAGTAGACACTTATTTTTTTTTCATTTTTTTCCATAGAAATTGTTATATTTACTTGATAGGGGGGGTCATTAATTTTAGACGTTTGCACTACAAATGCAACAATTTTAATCAAGTTTTCCGTTTTTGTTTCAAAGCCACACAATAAAATGTGGCCAGCTAACAATACGGCTTCACCCTCATCAAGAGGTCGAAGTGCATCGCCTAAAATATTATATATATCGACCATGTCGATTTCCAAATTTGGACTATTATTTTCCATATTATAGCTTAAAAAATATATACGGTTTACAACAACAGGTACGAGCTAGTATCAATACTGAGCTAGAATCAATAATGAACGTTTTCTCGTTGTTTTTTACATTGAGATAAACAAAAGAGTTGCGCTCGCTGTGAATCGGCTATGTTCGACACATTTCATAATTCAATCATTTGAATTTGACGAAACTTTATAATGAAAACTTTTTTTAAAAAAATTCATTATTAGTAGAAGCTTCATTTTTTATTATGAAACATAAGCTATTAACTTATTAAATATTTATAAAGAAGATTCTTTGCAAATATCCCATGTTAAAATACGTAAACACTCGTTTCTTTTTTATTTCAGAGCTTATCGCTAGGCGGCGCCATAGTATCGTGAAATAGCGAATACTGTTCAATATGCTAGTTTATTTGCAGAATAGAATATATTGTTTGTTAGTGTTCCATATTTTTCTCCTTCTTTTTCTTATTTGACTGTATCTATCAATATCATAAATTATAATTTGTGTCAACAATAAAAGTACAAGATCCATAGAGTGTGTAGGGATTATGGCGTGTAGGAAAACCCATCCATCAGCCAAACTTTTTCTTTTTTTTTTCCAAATTCTACCTATTTACTCTTTTTTCATATTATATATAATAATAAGTTTCATATAGGAATTACTCATAATGTCCATAAGTTTGAATTTTAAGAAATAAAAATAATTATTTTAATAATGCTCAAATTTAGTATATAAAATCAATAAATCAAATAATTTTAAATAATAATGCGATTCTAAATTAGTTCTACTATAATATTTAAATGCTCATATATCTTTTTTTTCAATTTGTTTTCTACTGGCATGTCTGGTCGCAGTGCTTGGTCAGCTTTGAGTTTTCTTAGATGCGCTTGAAATTGGATACCCAGAGTGGTAGTGTGCCCGGTCGTGTTGACGGACTATCTCCGTTATTAATAATTGTCAGATCTTCTCCTGTATATAAACATAAAAAAAAAATTATATACTTAATTATATTAATAATAATAATTTAAAAATGAAACCAAATATTTCAGGTCGATTGCTTAAATTAAGTTTTGAATTTAAAATAATAAATTTTATACTCCCACCTAATTTTCCAATTTACTTTCAGATTTTAATATCTTTTTTTTTCTTTTATATAAAGCCAATCGATACCCAAAATAAAGGTTTCTTTTGTTTTTATTTAGGTTTTAATTTTTATTCATTCATTTATTAATTTTTTCTTAAAAAAGAATTTTGATACTATAGGTGTTTTTCCAAGTTTCATGTCCTGTTTCTGGTGCCGATTCTTTCCAAATTGAATTCAACACTGCCGCTATTAATGCTCTGCTGTAGATTTCTCCTGCTACCATGTGTAGTTCTTCCTGGAATTAGTCTAAAAAAGTTTAGTATACGGAGCCCTGAGAGCGCGATCACTAATATGGTGAGGACAGCACCCCCGATTATAATAATATTATACGCGTAATCCCAGGCTGTATAATTCGCTACCGTGTTATCGCTTAGCGATGTATAAGTAGTTAATTGTTTTGCTGATATAATAATATCGTTTAGTTTTTGTCCATCCGCAAGATCATTGTAAATACCCTTAAAATTATTGTTAATTTGATTGTTTAATTTTTGGGTTAGATTTTGTATAAATAATGGGGTCATTGTTAGTTGTGTCATATTTATTCCCGTGTAGGTAAATATTGATAAATTTGTTGACGATGAGTATTCCAATGATGCTTCGAGTAGTGAAAATCCGTGAAGGAACGGGGAGCGGGGTATATAGGATACTTGCTTTGCCCGTTACTCTCCTCTAGGTGTTATGCCGTCGAATCGATAAATGATGTTGCACTCGGTTTTTTAATAATAAAAATACTAACAATTTAATATTTGAAAAACTTAGATATATACAAAAAAATAACGAAATCTTAATGTGACAATCGATGCCATAGGATCGATAAATTATCGCCTGCTCTGAGCGCGTATCTTTTTCCAACTGTACCTTAGCACGAGCCAAGATGTTGCCAACGGCACATACGCGATCTTACCGCTGAGAGTGCGCGATTGACGAAGTTTTACATTCAAATACAAAACGAACATACACGAGCGAACATACCGCCCGCCTTGCTTGATCACAGCAAACAAATTAATTATAACAATTCAATAATGTAAAAAAAATAAACATTCATAAAATTAACGTAACATCAAGAAGTAAATTTACAAAAAAGAACAAACGTTTTGTCTATGGGGTCTGTTTTCATTGTTTCTTTTTTCTCCGCTCATACTCTTCATACTCTTCATTCGCTCTAGCGTCCACTGGAAGCTTGATGAGCTTGACGACCGGTCTCACAAATGTAGAAGTGGCGGTACGAACGGTTACCACTCGCACTCGACCATCAGCACCAGGGCTTGAATTCATGATTATTCCGATTGGCCATCTGGCAGGAGGTGAAAGGTCGTCCTTGATAATCACCAAATCTCCCTTTTCGAGATTTTCTTGTGGGTGAAACCATTTATTGCGTAATTGAAGTTGATGCATAACTTCCTTCCTCCAACGATTCCAAAATGCATCTCGCATGTGGCTCAATAACTGCCATCGATCCCGATAGCTTTGCTTGTCCGACACGTCATACTTTTCGGGGATGGACAAATAGTCAGTACCAGTCAAAAAATGTGCCGGAGTAAGTGCGACTAAATCCTCGGGTTGTGTACTGATACGACACAACGGACGTGAATTTAAACAAGCTTCNTTACGACGTGGTGTATAAGCCATAACTCATTCATTTGCTCTGGCTGTATACGTAAGTTATCCATCGCGTTTTTAGACTCGCGCACTACGTCCAGTAGTCCACGTATCTCTTCCAATGACCGTTTTTGCATGGCAGGGCACGCGATGATATGCGACATGTGAGAAAACAGTAGAGCTTTTTTATTATCATACCGATCTTGTAGTGCTTGCCAGGAGTTTGCGTAGTTCTCTGCGGTGATCTGGACGTTTTTCAACCGATTTGCTGCGTCACCCGTCAACGAACGTAACAGATATTGTAGCTTTAAAATTGGCGGGATACTGGGCACATCATGAACCAACGCTGTAAACATATCCTTGAAAGTTTCCCACTCGAGTTGCTGCCCCGAGAACTGTGGAAGGTTTATGGGTGGTAACGGATTTCGATACGCTGGCATCTCCATGCTAATTTGCGCGTATTGCTCGTCGGCTTGGAGCGATGACACATTTCGCCCGGGGTAGATTGCGTCCAATATCTCCGTCTTGTAGACGGTGTACGCTGTATTCGTCTCTGAAAATACATCCGTCTTGAAATATTCCGACTCTTGGAGACTCTGATCGCGCATAAGCTTTTTATGCTCCTGTAAAAA